TTCAGTGAAATAAGTCAGAAAGAAAAAGAAAAATATCAGATGGTTTCATGTGAGTCTGCTAAACTTAAGCGGCCTGTTCTGCTGCTGTTATGGCTACCTGCAGTTCTGCATTCCTATCCAAGGTCAGAACTGCCCTTCAGAATCGGCCGATCAGCCATAGGAGCCAAACCTTACAAGGCGCTTTTCACAGCAATCAAGAGCAGAGAGCCTGATCACCCTGGGAAGGGTGTGCATCACAAGGTATGACCGGGAACAACCCAGGGGCTGAGGACCGATGTATGACAAGGGACCCCAGAAGCTGATCAGTGAAATGCCTTGTTGATAAGATTAAGACCATGGCCCGGGGTCTGGGGTCCAGTTTCTATGACAACACTTGATCATCAAACTGATAACATGGTCAGCAGACTCGTGTCCCCCAAGGCCTAGATGACATTCCTGAGTGTCACCATCCTTTCTCCTTGTCCTCCTAATGCACGGAGCTGATGCTCTATGATTGTTCTATCAATAAAAACAGCCAGGATCTTGCCCTCAGCAGCATCCTGCCTTGTGCAGCCTGCTCCATGACACCTGTGTCTTCGTCAGTGTGGTGTTGCCCAATGCAACAGTTTCACTTATAGGAGGAATATAGGGGAACTGAACAAAAGGTCAGAGGGAAAAAAAGGACAAAACTAGCAGGCAAATTATAGATCTGAGACATAGAGCTGGGAAGGGGGAGGGAGGGGGTCAAGCAGGACTGTGCTGATGGTTCACAGGTGAGGTGGTGAAAGGAGATTTATGGGGATGTTAATGGGTTTCTCACCTGAGGGGAGAAATCAAAATGTGCAAAATGTAAATTTTGTACAAAATGTACAAAAATGAACAATGATGTAATTTAAAAAAACAAAAACAAAAACCAAGAATTCTTCACAGAAACTGACAGACATGGGGCACACATGGTAACTCTCCATGGGGCCTCTAATGCTCTGTGCTGTGTTCTGTGCCAGGACCCCAGGGGTGTGGGGGGGACTGTGCTGTAGGGCCCCTGCCTGTGGCCATGCAGCATCTCCACTCTCCTCTGTCACCTTCCCAGTAATCCCTCACACACAAACGCCCTCCCACCTCCTTCAGATCCCAACCAACATCCTCACACAGATACACTCGAAATCTTTGCTTCCTCTTGGGCCTACCTGGCCACTTGCGGATCGCGAGCCCCCCGTTTGGGCTGAAGTGCTCGTCCAACAGGCTGAGTGGTTATGAGCTTCTAAATACCTGTACCTGGAGGCCCCACAGCCCACCCCACTTCTCTGGGTCATACTCAAGAGACTCCAATATACCAGTTTTTTTTCTATTTCTTGAACAGGCATGTTCAAGGGCCTCTCATGCTCTGGAACTCACCTGAAGGAAGGTGGCGGCTCTCCGAGCACTGGGACATCAGCTCAAAGGTGGGGTGCAGAACCTAGAGGGGCCGGGGCCAGGCTGGGCTGGTTCTAGAGCCCTGCTGGTCTGTGGCCAGTGGAGCAGCCCCCCTGGTGCCCCACCGCATCCTGCATCAGCCCCTCACACCAATAGTTCCTCAGGCCCCGGAGTACTCTCTGATCTTTGGAGCTGGTTTTGCCCCACAGGCCAGAAGAGCTGAGGAAATAATGCCCCAGAGGCTGCCCCTCAGGTGCTGGATGGGAGGTCCCCTTGTGTGCTCCACACCGTTGCCCATGGAGGGAGCCCCAGCTGGCCGCCGAGGCTGCCTGCTCCTAGAGCACCCCCCATCCCAGTGCTTCCTGGAATTCCTCCCAAATACTTCCCGTGTACTTAAATCTTCGTCTCAGAGTTCATTTCTCAGGAATCCAAATTAATAAAACAGGTGGAGATGAGCTGACCCAAACTGGCCTCTCCAGGAGTCTTACATGTGGAATATACCAGAGAAGGCCGGGGCTGTGGGGCCGTCAAGGCATGAAGCAGCAGGTGGCGAAAATGATGCATTAAAGGGGGAGGGAGAAGAACCCCTGCTTCTGATAGGATCCCAGGACAGGGCTCCCCGGGGTCTCAACTAGGCCCTAGCCTCAGTTAGCTCCCTCAGCCCCCAGTGGTATACGTGGCCTCAACAGGTCTCAATAAACTTACCTGGCCTCAACTAGTGACCCCTTGACCTCAACTAGTCTCTCAGCTGCAGCTCGAGCTCCTTGACTAAAATAGCTCCCCTAGCCTCAATCAGTCCTCCTGGCCTCAACTAGCCCATTTGGAGTGAACTAGTGCCCCCAGCCTCAACTAGCACCCCTGGCCTCAACCAGGCCAATTGGCCTTCACCGCTGCTCCTGGCCTCAACTGGTCCTCCTGTGCTGAACAGCTCCTGCCTTCAAGGATTTCCCAGGCTCACCACCCCCTTGATTTCCTACCTTGTTTGTTTAGTCTTATTCTTGGCCACCCCTGGGAGGCCTTTCCCCACCTCCTTCTAGGACATTCCTCTAGCACCCAAGCACCAACATCGGCTACCTCCCTCATTGCTGCGTGGGCCTTCTTCTCCCACCTGCTTCCTTGTGGAGCGTCTTCCAGGGCCTTCCCACGTGCTGTCTGCCAGGGAGGAGTTGGAGCCTCCTCCAGCATGCCAGCCTCTCAGCCTCTGCAGAGGAGAACCCCCTGAATCCTCATGACTGTAAACAGAAGCACCTTCTGTCCAGGTCCTTGACAAGGAGGAAACTAAGGGGCACACAAGCTTATGGACCCCCATACAAGACCACATTTTTAGGCAATGAAAAGCAGGATATTTAAACTCCATTCGCCCTGACCACCAGCTCTCCCATCGTGGTCTCCCTAAAAAACTTGCTGACTCCAGGCCAAGGCCTCGCCCTCAGTGTGGCTGAGTGCTTGGTGGAGACCACCAGCTGGCCACATCTGACAGAAGTGAGTCACAGGCAAACCCCGTGGTCTAGTTGGCAGGGCCCTGGGGGAATCGACCAGCACGTGCCAGTAAGCCCAACAGGATATGACGAGACAGCAGAAGGTCTGCGCCTGGCCACTACCTGCCCAGGCTGTTCCCTGAGCAGTGCAGGACTCTGGGAGGGATGGCACTCCTGGGCTGTGGGTGGGGGTGAGATCATGTATTTGCATTATAAAGGGCCTCTGTGCTGAAGGGAAGGCTGGAGCTGGGCTTACTGCCTTGCGGGAAGCTTCTAGGCCTTCAGAGAGAGACCTGATCTCCATGGAAATTAGTTTGTCAAGAGAAAGGAGCTATTTTAAGGACCCGAGGAGCCGAGAACCTGTAGGCTGGGGTTAGGGAAGGTAGCTGTGGGAGAGAGCTTTTCTGAATGACTCACTAATTTCCTTCCTATGGGGTGGAAGAACTGGCACCGAAAAAGACCAAAACCAGGAAGGAGGAGCAGCTGGGCAGGGCTGGCCCCAGACCCAGTGGTCACCGCACTGGGGTGGCGATGCTGGGGTCTGGTCACTGTTGGAGAGCGCCCGTCGTAACAACACCTTCTGTTGGCATAGAATCTGCAGGCTTCCGCCAGCTCTCATAGAATCATACAAAGAAGGAAATATTGGCTTAAAAAAAGAGTGATGGGAGCAGCTTTGCAAAGTCAGGGGGCAGTGGGCTTCCTCCTAAGGGCTCAGGGACACTTGGGTGAGGAAAGCTTGTCAATGAATCCGCCTTCTCGGTCAGGAGCTTGGTGAACAGCTGGCGTGGAGCAGAGGTGAAGACTAGGTGATAAAGACGCAGGGATTTCTGGGCTCCCACTCATCCTGCTGTAGGTGGGAGAAGCGGGTGTTAGGGAGACCTCAGATCAGAGCAGAGCAGAAAGGAAAGCTATCTGGCTAGAGGGGCCCCCAAGAGATGGGCCAACCACCAGAAGAAAGGTGGGCAGGGGATCAGGGGTCTGGGCTGAGGCATCAGTTGAAGGGCCAGGATGAAAAATCTTGAATGTCGCGATGTCTCTGCTTTGGCCTGGAGGTGGGCCTGCTCCCGTCAATGGACAGCCAAGACCCAGTGGGTGCTCACACGGCCGGTGTGGGAGTCGGGAGAGGCACTTGGGGTCCCCTGTTTGTGCGGGTGACTAGAACTCAGAGCAAAGAGTGATGGGAAGTCTAAGGTGCACCCCCTGCTGCTGCTCTACTTGCTTCTCCTGGGTACCTTCAGAAATGGTGGGGAGGGGAGGCCTGGAGTCCACTCTGGGTGGGCATGGGAGCTCCCCTTTTTGCTCTCCCTGCATGTGAGCAGCTCCAGGCACCTTGCAGAGCATCAGCCCGCCCCTGAAACCGTGGGCTCCCAGGTGCCACAGCCATGCCTGTCCTGGTCCTGGGTGGTGGGTGATGGGTGTCGGGGCCATTGGCCTAAAGCTGGTGTCTCTATCTGTCCTGCTACCCTAGCCCTTGGCCCATCAAGCCAGAAAGCTGCTGCTGGAGGACTGGGTTCAGGTTCCATGTGGGGACCAGACTGCGGGTCGGCAGTGTCAGGGGATTCCAGACGAGGGGGGTGAGCAGCCATCATTGCAGCTGCCCTTCAAACCCGGCCTCGTCAGCCTGCACGGCTTGCCGACAGGCAGGGGTTTGCTCTGGGGCCTCCAGCTCTGCTGGGGTCCAGCCTGGCCAGCGGGTAGCACAAGTGGTGGAGAGCAGTGTAGGCTTAAGCACCCTGGAAGCAGACCTCCGGGTTAGCAACTGCTCCCTGACCCCTGCAGTCCCGGGGCCCCTGCAGGTGGGCAGTTGGAGGCCCTTGACTTGGGCATTTTGGAGCATGTTTAGTGACTCTGGGACTAGCAACAGACACTTAAAGCCAGGTGCAACTTGGGGCAGTGGTGGTGGATGATGCCGGCGGGTTGATGGGGTGATGCTGGTGACGACTGGGCCCCACAAGGAGTGGCGTTGATGGGCCACGCCCAACTCCAAACTAGTTCACTGAGTCCCCTCTGGCCAGAGCGATGACCTCTCCTCACCACTCCTCTCCCCAGTGGCTGCTCTGCGCCCCGACGGCCTAGAGACCTGTCTGGTTCTAGATGTCAGGAAAAGACACCAGGCAGCGCAGCTCAGTGAGAAAGACATGGTTTATTGGTCATGCAGACGGACAAGTGGGGAAGTAAGGTTCGTACCTATTCACCTGCACACACATATTTGGTTCAAATTCCTTTCTAAATTGCCATGTCAAAAAGCCACGTATGAATAAAGATATGACTAATCTACTCTCCTAGCAACCAAGGAAGCAGGGTGGGCGCCCTGGAGGCAGCACTGTCCTAGGGCCTTTTGGTAGAAGTTCATCCTGCCTGGCGGCCAGTCTGGACCACAAAAGCAACAGCCAAGACTTGTGTTAGCATGAGGAGACCGTTGCTGGGGCTCGCGTGACACATGGCCTGAAGGTGGAGGCCCACCTTGAGAAAGGTGCAAGGGTGTGGCACAGGCCGGGGCTCTAGCTGGGTTGACGCGGATCTCTTCGCTGCTGGTGAGGTGTCTTCTCCATCCAACTGAACAATCTGGAGGAGCCAGAGGGGCCCCTGCTCTGTGTCAGTCCTGCTGGAACCTCCGGAGCATTGGCTAAAGCACTTGGCATCTCTGACATTCGACAGAGTCGGGTTGTTCTGTGAACCATTCACCTTCTGCTCCCGAGAGGCCCAGCCCATCTCACTCCGGGGCTGACCTTAATTAATGCTTTGCCCAAACCGCTCAGGACATAGAATTGAACTGGGGTCTGGGGACGTGGTTTTGGTTGACTGAAGAAGATTCAAGCCTCCATTGTTCCTTTGAGCACTCAGCACGGTGGCTAGCACATGATCAGGGCGCCACACATGTAGCCATTATTATTATTAATAGTATTATTATTTATGTTGCTCCACCCCCAATCGGTGCTTTAGTTGCCTTCTTCAAAACGCAACCAGAACAGGCTCTTGGGTCCCGAGTACCAAGATCAAGCTGGGGCTCAGGTATGTGGCTTCTCTGTGGACCATCTGGTCCCTGTGCCTTCCAGCCTCAGCACTGGGTTCTGAGCTCCCGAGCCACCGAAGCCGGGTGCTCTACTGGAAAACATGAAGCTCTGCACAGGCAGCTGGGGAGGAGGAGGCCACGGGGGGCCCGGGAGAGGGTCTGTGCGTCCAGCTGCTCCTCTGGGCTCCCGTCTCTCTGGCAGCTCTCCAGGGCTTCACTGTGGGAGAACAGGAGATGGTCAGGGCTGGGCTGCATTCTCCCCGGGACTGACTTAACTAAAGGTCCCCGTGTCCTGGCACCTGCAGGTGAAGTGAGATTTCCTTTAACATGCCCCTGAAAAGAGCCATCACCCAGCCGTTACTTTATTACACATGTTCCATCACACATGCATGTTATATGTGTACGTTGTAAAGTCTCTGACTATGGAATATAATGCATACTGTAAGTGTGTCATTTATATGCATACATTATAACCGAAGAAATAATAAAACTGAATCTTCCTTGTAAGCCTGAGCGGCAGGTAGTCTCTATAGCCCCCTTTTCCAGATGAGTAAACTGAGGCTCAAGGCACAGAACCAGGTAGTTGGAGACGCGGGGTTCAAACCCAGGACAAGCCTGGCTCCAGGTCTGTTCTTAACCACTGTTCGTCTTTACCAAAAAATAAAACATTCCATTGTATAGGCCGGACGGGGCCATTAGTTGGAAGGCTCTAACACGCAGGGGCTCTTTGGAGGGCCAAAAGGAAGGACAATGAGCTGCAGGGGAGCTGGTGTTTCCGGAGCCTTCGCCCCTGGTCTGGCACGGGGGTCCTGCGCCTCCTTTCAACCTTTCATGGCAGGAGGGGTTTGGGGTCCCACCCGCCTGCGTGCAAATCCTGCCTCCTCCGCCTTCCTCCTGGGGTGGCTCGGGCTCGCGTTCCCAGAACCCACGCGCGGGGGGCGCGTCCACCCGGGCACGCGGCCCTGTGCGCGCCTGGCCAGGCCGGCCGGACCCCGGGGCACGGCCGTGCAGAGGCCGCGCTGCCCGAGCCCCCGCCCGCGCCCCCGGCGGGCCGCCCCCGCGCCCCCCGCGCGCACCTGCGTGGCGGCCCTGCCGAGCGGCGCGTCGTCCGGCCGGTGCTTGCCGTGGTGCGGGAGCTCGCTGTGGTCGCGGTAGTCGCGGCCCTTGGCGTGCTGCAGGTGCAGCACCGCGGGGCTCTTCACCGGCAGCGGCGGCCGCAGCAGCGCGGGGGCGGCCGGGCCCGGCTGGCTCAGTTCGGACCGGGAGGGCTTGACGGGCCGCTTGGTGGGCACCGGCACCGGCACCGGGCCCGGCGCGCCGGGCGGGGCCTTGGGCTTCCCCGCGCCCTTGTCGCCGCCCGCGGGGCCCGCGGCGGGGCCGGCGGCCGAGGACGAGCAGGTGAAGGAGCGCAGCCGCGGCGCGGGGCTCAGGAAGGCGGCCCCCGGCTTGGCGCCCGCCTTGCCGCCCTCGGCCTCGGGGGGCTTGGGCAGCAGGACGCTGGGGGACAAGGCTCCCGGGTCCGGGCAGGGCAGGGGCTCCTTCCGCGGCATTTTGGGGGACTCCTGTTCCTTCCGGGGAGCCAGCTTGGGGAAAGAACTCACGGACCCATACAGAGGGTTCTCGAACATCTCGGGCTTGGTCAGGTCCGGGTCCGCGGGCGGCGAGGCCTCGGCGGGGTTCTTCCCCACGTCCCCGGGCCTGGAGCTGGAAGAAGGGGCCGCAGGGAAGAGACACGTGAGGGCCCCCCTCCGCGGGATGGGGCTTTTTAATTCTTTTTAAAGATGTGTCTTGAAGATTTTATTTATTTTTGCATAGAAGAGCTGGGGTGCAGGCCAGAGGTGTGGGGGTGAGAGGAGTGACCAGAGACAGAGTGGGGAGCAGAACAGGAGGATCCACTGAAATCCACTGCTGAGGGGAGCAGCGGGCAGACAGGAGAGGTCTGCGCGCCATGTGGGTAGCTCCCTGGCAGGATGGAGCTCAGGCCATTGCAGCGATAGCCTGAGACTTACCCCCGAGGCCCCAGGGAGGCCCCAGGATGGGGTTTTCTTTTGCAGTGATAAAAGTGTCTTGGAACCAGCCAGGATGGCAACTGCACCCCACAGTGATCACCACCCCGTGGCTCCTTGTCAATGGCTGGTCCAGGCCGTGTGACCCTCACCTCGTGAAATATAAAATAGAGCAGAGAGTGCGCGCTGCTCATGTGTCACCTCCCAGGCAACCTCCATTCTTGCCTGGAACTTCTCCCGCCATTAACTGTACACACCCGCTCACTGGCGTATGCTGGTCAGCGTGTGCTGGAGGGAAGCGAGGGCCTCCGGGGCCCAGAATCAAGCCCCTTCTGTCCTCATCAGAGCTGCCCTCCAGGGCTCCTCCCCATCACTGCTGCTTCTGGGCTTCCTCCCCAAGTCCCGCAGGCTCCCTGCCCTCTCTAGCAAATTCTGCTCTGCCCTCTGGGAGCGGAAGCTTTGTAGGCAGTGACCTCCCGAGGGCCCACGGGTGCTTCCTCGAGGGCTCCAGCTCCAGGAACCCCCATTAAATAGGCACGTGGGAGCCCCCTGTGTGACACCACTTCAGGCACAGGAGGTGGCCATGAACCAAATTCTGTGCTCAGGGACACATGTTCCTGATTTATGTGCTTCCTGAGCACATAAAGTCCTCTCCCTGGGGGTCTCCTGGAGGGTGGCATCCCCCATGTCCCAACACCAAGGGGGAAGGGAAAACAGCTGTGATGCGGAAAATCAGAGGGAACCTGGAGATGAACACAGGGGGGTCAGGCAGGAGCGAGAAAACAGGGCGGCTGGACTGTCGGGCAGAGGAGCTCATGCCTAGCCCCAGGTGGGCCGCGCTGCTGCTGCTGCCTTTTGTGACTTGTCACAGCCCACTGAGGTGGTTTCCTGCTGAGCAAATTATGAGAACCAGGAACAGGAACACATTTTATTTTCTGTCCAACAGCTTCATCTCCCAGGGGAGTGTTCTAGTTTTTTGCTTTCTGCAAAAAAGGGAAGCTGTGGGGCAGAAAGTGGGGTCCCGGGGCCCACTGGGCTCTCACTGATGGTGTGTGTGCGCCAAGACGCTGCTCCCAAGATGCCCATGGGCAGGCTCAGGGCCGAGTGGGCATCGCCCAGATGGGCTCCGGGGGTGTGGGGTGGGCTGGCCTCAGTGACGTGCCAAGAGGCTTGACTGTACACTTGGGATTTTTTTGCTCATGACTTTTTGGAGAGACTGGAAATAGTTGCATAACCAGAGATGTGGGTGATGGCAACACCCCCTTTTTCCCGTCTTTGCCCAGGCTGAGCCGCGGTTGGGAGCAGCAGAGGGCTATAGGCAGGTATGGGGGCAGCTGGTTTCTTGCCTCTAGTCACCTTCTGGGTGAGAAGTGAGCGCAGAAGCCCCCCAGGTTGCCTTCTCGGGGAAGCAGAGGGAAGCATTGCTCACTGGTTCCAGCCTGTCTTCAAGGCCTCCCGCACAAGATACCTTTACTCTGAGAACCTAAAAGCATTCCACTTAAAGGAGTAGCTAATCTCCTTGTTTTCTGGGGTGATCTGCAGTCCCTTTCCCCGGGGTCCATCTGCCACTCCTGTGATTTGGGCCAACGGGCGCCTCAGCACCCACCGCACGGCAGCTGCTGTCCTCATTTTGCCAGGGGGGGAGGGGAGATGGTTTCTCCTTCCCTTGTTTCTGACAAATGACCACAGCCAAGAAATTTTATCAATAAATTGTGAAAACTGGAGGCAGGCAGGCTGAGGGCAGCTGGGGCAGTTTATTTACCTCTGTCCTGCCCATCCCAGCCTCCCTTCCTCTCCTCTAGTTGTTTTTTAAAAGAGAAAGAGTTTAAGGAAGAAAAGTATGAACTGGCCCTCAACCCCCAGGAAACCCCAGCCAGCCAGGTGTGGAAGTCGAGGCATGGTGGGAGGTGAGAGAGGTGGTTGCTGGGGCTCCCTGCCCTGGCTCCTAATAAACGTGCGTCAGAAAACACCAGGCAGGCTTGAAAGGCCCATGGCAGGCCCCCAAAGCCCTTGCAAATAGCCACAAGGGAAGCGACACTAACGGTGCTTTGTAGATCTTCACTGTTACCTGGAACCTGCACTTTTCATTTCTGCCTGTCACCCTGGGGTCCAGGAGCTCGTAGGGCCCCTCCCCTGCATTCCCACGAGGTGCCCGCAGATGGGATTGCTTGGTGCCAACACGGGAGAGACGAGGCAGTGCCCTGGCTGCCCACTGTGTCCTGACACGTGCCACCTGGACCAGCTCGAGACACAGCTCTGCTTTTTCCAACCCTTCCAGAAGTTTCCTGGCCAACTCCTTCCTCTGCAGGCTAGTTCTCTCCCTTTAGTTGACTCCCTGCCCCAGCCACTGCCTTTCCTGACCACCCTCAATAGTAAGTGCTTCCCCATGGGAACAAGAACCTTCTTCATGGTAAGAAGAGGGAGCTGGCGGGTGGGAGGCCTTTGCGGAACTCCACCCCTGCTCCTTGGGCCCTCCGGGGAATGGGGGACCGCCAGATGGTTCAGTGGTTATAGAAATGCATTTTTCAAGAACTGCAGATTTTATAGGAAGATTTTTGTGTTTGTTTTCTGCAGTATCTTCAAAATTTTGTATTCTGTGTAAAAAAATCTTTCAAGTGTATACCAATAGGGTCAGAACTAGAGTTCCACAAGCAGTCCTTAAGTGCCTACTGTGCTCCCAGCCCAGAGGGTGGGCCCCAGAGCCCAGCAGCGGACACACCCCTGCCCTGCGGCAGCTTCCGTACTAGGGCCAGATTCTGGAGGTGAAAACCCAGGGCAGGGACTGCTCACCTTGATTCCTGTGTCCTGGGGCCGGGGCCCCGGGATGAGGACGACAGCTTCTTCGGTGAGACGGGCGCTTGGGAGGGAGGGGTTGGAGGGGTCTCTCCCCTTCCTGGGCCTAGGGAGTTGTCCTTGGGCGGCTGGTCGTAGCTCCAGGCTGTGGGCTGAAGGTCAGGGGACAGGACCTGCTTCAGGTGCCCGAGGGGCCCCATCCCCATGTAGTTGGGGTTGATGATTTCAGTGAGGGCGGAGCCACCACACCTGCGGGGAGACACACAGTCAGACCTCAGGGCTCCATTCCCTTCCCCAGGTCAGCAGAGGCCTCAAGACAGTGTCCTCTGATGTCCCTCAGGTTCTGGTTGCTTTTGGGACATCCATCCATCCATCCCTCCCTCCCTTTAACAGTTATTGAGTGTCTAGTTAGCAGCAGATGCTGGGGCAGGAGGAGGGAACATGGCTGTGAACGAGAACAAGGTGTGCCCCATGAGCCCTAGCTGAGGAGAGACACAGAACAAAACAAGCCCAGTGGTTGGGAGACAGTGTTTACGCCATGCTGGGACTAAGAGTAACAAAAGAGGCAGAGAAAGTGAGCCCAGGCTGGGATCAAGTGGGCAGACAAGGGGGGAGACCGCGTTAAGAGTAAGTGCAAAGGCCCTGAGGTCAGAGGAGCTTGACCTGTTCTGAAGGCCGGTGGGCCAGCAGGGAGAGGGGCTGAGTGCGAGTTCTATCTGGGACAAGGCAGCTGGCATGGTTGTGAGGCATAGGAATGGGGACACTTGTAAAGATGAGTGTGGGGGTCACAGAGGCCAAGGGGAGAGGCAAGGCCCCCATGTTTACAGATGCCAACTTAGCAGAGACTTGGGGAGGCAGGACTTCCACATTGACCTACCACTGTCCAGGTTTGTGACCTTAAAGTCCTCTGTGCCTCAGTTTCCCTGTCTACCACATGAGGATAATACTTGCCTCTCTAGGCTGCTGTGAGAGATTCTGGAACCAGGCAGACACTGGAGAGTGAGAAGCATTCGTTGATGGGATGGCATTGGATGAAAGAGACTGCCCAGGGCTGGGCCTTCAGAAGTTGGAAGTGGACCAGGGGATGGAGTTGGGGTGGGGGTGGGGAGAGGCTGGAGGACAGGCAGCGTGGGCCGATCCTGTCCTCCTGAAGGGGGTGCACGGGGCTTTGGCAAATTGGCACGGCTTTGCCCCTCCATAAGCTGGCAGGGAGGCCGCGCCAACCCTGGCTGGCTTGATTCTGGAACTTGGGACCACACCAGTAGGCAGAGCTGCCCCCGTTGCTCCCTAGCCTTAGAGACGTCTATGTCCAGATCATTCCCATGCGGCCTCTGCCAAGAACAGCCCGCCTGCCTTTCCCCCTTAGTAACGGAATGGGGTCGTCAACCCCCAGCCTCGATTGCTGATGTCCCCAGACCCACAGGAGACACGACAACAGTCCCATCTCTGCAGCTGCGCCCTCCTCTGGGCATGTTCTCCCCGGCTGGGGGTGCCCAAGTCAGGGACTGCACCCCATCAGGTTCTCCAACCCGACAAGCCATAGTAGGCAAACAAGCTCACAGACTGGAGCCAAACCCCACAGCAGAGGAGGCTCCGCTCATCACAGCCACACTGGCCTCCATGTTTGGGCAGAGCCTGGGGGCAGAAGCAGGCCTCGCCTCCCCTGGGTCTGCCAGGCCAGCCTGTGGGCCCCCCCACTCCCCTTACCTGTTGGCAGGTTCCCAATGCTTCATGGGGTCGTGGCCGGTGAAGCTCTTCAGAGACTTGGGTCCACTGGACTCGTCCCGCTCGGTCTTCACAAAGTCTGGTAGAAAAGGGCCAGGAAAGAGCCAGTGAGGCCCCAGCACCCAGGTAGACAGGCCAGGATGGCAGGGGCTTCCACGTGCTCCCCGAGGCTGGATGGTGAGTACCGCCGCCTGCGGTATGGTGAAGCAGGATTCTGAGGCTTCACACGGGGCCCATGGTTGACTGGTTATGTCTGCCCTGGCCCCAGAGGAAGGAGACCTGGGTATGGGGCCCAACTGGTGTGTCATGGGACACTCCCAACATGGAGTTGCCACAAGGACAAATTAGGCGATTATTTCTTGACAATTAGAATAAAATCTAACAAGGGGCTATGCAGGAGTGTGCAGTACCCAAAGTAAACCCATTCGTGGGCTAAATGGGGAACCCCATTTCTGCTCCTGGCTAGTGGTGGCAGAGGAGCTGAATACCCTTTACCCCAACCCACTGTCCTGCTAGAGAAAGGAGCCCCCGCAGGCCAGAAGGGGGAGCCTTGAGTGTGGAGGGCAGCAGCCTTGGAGGCCCAGAGCCTGCCCTGGAATGGGGTGCCAGACACCCATATAAAGCGAGTCTCACTCTCTCCTCATGTGAGAGGCAGGGCCCCCATGTTTACAGAGTCCTACTTAGCAGAGACTTGGGGAGGTGGGACTTCTGCCTTGAACTACCCACTTTCCAGGTTTTTGACCTTCAGTCCTCTGTGCCTCAGTTTCCCTGTCTACCGCACAAGGATAATACCTGCCTCACCAGGCTGCTGTGAGTGAGAAATGAGGTGACAGTTATAAGATGATCACTTCATACAACATCAAGCAGAAAGTTAAAGGCAACTCAAGCCAATTTTGGGCTTTGTTATTTGAGTGCTTTTGAATGGGAATGGAAGAGAAGAGGGGAAAAAATTCACCTGTTGCTATATGAAAGGGAGAAATACCTGATTAACAAATTCTGAAGTTTTGTGCCTCTCAAGCTTTTTCATATTCAAGCAGAGGGATTGTTAACATGATGGATACGATTAAGAAATCTACATGCTAATTTCTAAGTTTCTAAATGACGAATGATGGGTGGAATTCAGAGAAAAGAACACATTTGAGTGTAGACACACCCGCGTGCCCCCTTTGATGTTAGGGCCTCTGGGCTGCACTTCAGTCTCCCATGATGGAGGAGTGACAGGTTGCATCTAGCCGAGGAGGCTCTGCAAGTGGGGAGTGGCAGGGGCTGGTTCCCCAGGGGGAAGGCCCCGGAGTCACTTCCACGCGGACTCCTCCCAGTCAAAGTAAGCAAGAGGCTTTCACGGGACCGGGACTGGAAGATTTGAGTTCATGTTCACAGAGGTGCTGGGACTCTGCTGGGAAGAGAATCCACTCTGCTATTTTGGGGGTGTAGGGGTTGGGAGGGAAAGCCCAAGAACTGTGCCTGGGGCAGGACAGCCCTTGGGTGTTCACACATGAGAGCTATTTGGCAGGTGCAGAGGGGGGTGGGCACCACGAGGCAGGACGAGGGTGGGCTTGAAGAAAACAGCCATCACAGGCCTCAGTCTCCTCTCCCCGCTGCCTGGGGGCCACTTAGCATTGGCAGGATTATTGGGGAACTCAATTTGGGTGGAGGTGGCAACAGGGAGGCATAGGCCTAAGGGGCTGGTATCAGCTGAGAGAAGAGGACCTGGAAAATGTGCAAACTTTTATCTTTAAAGATGAGGGGTGTCTGGGGTCAGGAAGGGGTTGGCGGTTCTTACGCCAGAGTGTCTCTCGGATCTCGTCGGCAGAGAGCATATTCGACGGCTTTGTTGGGAGCAACCTTGGTCCTGTGCCTAAGCTGGCAGGGCCGAGGAAGGCGCCGGGGCACATGCCACTTACCATAGAGCTTCTCTCTCATCTTGCCTTCGGAGGTCTGCAGCTTGATCTCCCCACGGAAGTGGCCGGTCATCTCGCCATGGTGGGTGAGAGGTGTGTAGATGGGGAGCTGAGTTTCCGTGGCTTCTAACCGCAGAGCAATGCAGCCCTCGCCTGGGGAAGGGGGCGAGGTCACATGACGACCCCACCGTCATGTCCCAGGAGAAACCTCACACACCCAGCCCAGAGCTCCAGACGCAAAGTTGCTCAAAGACGATCCCCGAGACGGCGATCGAGGCGGGTATTATGGAGAAAGCCTGTCGAGTGATGGAACCGCCATTTGGGGGGAACACTTCCAACATTACAGCAAAATGCAAAAAAAAATCATAGAAAATCCAGCAGAAAACTAGAAGTCAATACTCATCTGACTACCAGAGGGAACAGTCATTTCCCGAGGTTTGAAGCAACGAAAGAAATGACAAAACAAGACTGATAGAGTCTGCAGAAGTTTAAAACTTCTGCACATGGCGAGAAAACAAAACTGAAAATGAAAAGGGGCGGGCGGGCGGGGGATGAGCAGCCAGCTTCACAGAGGAGCTTTCATCTGCACTCCTCGGGAACTCCTCAAAATCGCATCCCCAGCAGATAAATGGGTAGCAACCCCAGTACACTAGCGGAACTGTGGCTGGTTCATTTCAATAAAGACAAACTGGTTCAGTTTCCCGAGTCATCAAAAACGCCAACGAAGGGAACACGAAGGTACTTTTTCACAGACAGCAAATTAGCACAAAATCAAGGGAGGGAAAAGAAGACCCAGCCCCAGCCTGGCTAGTCTTCAGGGCTGGCCGTCTGATAACAAGTGCTGGCATCACGAATATCCACTCAGCCAACACGTGGCTTATCCTAGCTGATCCAGAAGGAAAATGTCGCTGAAGAAGAATAAAAGGTGCCCGCCGAGAGACCCATCTCAGATTGTTGACAACATAGTCAAAATACCTGGCTGAGCCTCAAACATAAGAACATGGAGTACTGTAAATGACAGGTCATTTGTGGAATATTATGAAGCCACTAAAAAGCAACAGCTGTGAAGGGCAGCCACGGAGGAGGATCATGGAAAATGTGTATGATTTAAAGGCACGACGCCCAGTGGTAGCTCCGTGATGATAATCTGGAATCTGGGTGTGCCCAGGCATGAGATGCAAGCGTGAAGCCAGACAGCGAGTGCTGTAGCTGAGACAGGCTGTCGGCTACTTTTTCTGTTATTACCATGATGTGTAATAATAACATGGTATCTGCAGTCTGCGGGTGTGAATCTCCAGAGGAGACACAGGAGTAGAGTTGTTTCCGGAACAAGACAACAGCACCCGCAGGCCCGTGTTCCCATTCCTTCCACCAAACCTAGGAACTCCCAGCCCTTTCTCTTAGGAGACTCTGACCCTGACTGGCAGACCCTCGGGCTCTGCCCAGCCTGCCCTGGCTCGGGGACCGTGGATTCTGGAGCCCGGCTGCCTGGGTGCAAGTCGAGTGGTAAGTAGCTTGTCAAGGACACTCGGTGGCTTTGTGACTTTGGACAAGTCACACTAGTGCTCCCTCTGCAGTGAGGTGGTGACAGAGCTGACAGCCCGTGGCAGCGCCTGCGCACGGCAACCCAGACACGGCGTCACCCTCGGTGTCTATAGCCTCTTTCTGCGTCCTGGCTTCCGGCGATCAGCACCAAAGCATGTTCCAATCCCTTCGGCTGCAGTCTCCCTGCCTGCCTCCAGGGCCATCTGACTCCCTCGTGTTCCCACAACCAATGTCGATACCTCTCAATTTTCTCCTCTCTGTTTCATGCCGTTCCCCTCCATTCTGGCTCCCTGGCCCTCGTCTTGGGCACTGCCACCACACCTTGCTAAGAGGCAAATCTGCACAGGTACCGTCTTGCCTGACTTTTCAGTGGCTCCTGCTGCTCATTTGCCTCGGCCTGGTTTGCACGGAGCTGCTGGGTCTCGCTCTGGCCTCCAGTTTCCCTCTGGCTCCTGCCCCTCTCACCCTATGTTTCAGCCACACCGAAAGTGCCAGGGGCACACCAGCCTTGGGCTCAAGCCAGGGACAGGCTGGGCACTGAGCAAAGCAGGGCAGGCCTAGGTTCAAATCAGGACTCAGCCAGTTAGTGCCTGTGTGACCTGGGCGTCACTTCACCTCTGAGCACCCCACTTAGTACGTGGGAGGACAGTCCCTCCTCCACCAGGCCTTATCAGAGTAAATCAAACACCTGTGAGCACATGGAGGGGACCACAGAGGAAAAAGCTCAGGAAATGGAGGTGCGGTATCTGCTGGTGGGCTCCCAGGAGGGGTGAGCTACCCCTTCCTGGGGCGTGGGGTAGGGAGTAGTCATTGGGTTTCTCCAGGAGAGGCCGCCCCCACCCTCACATTGGAGCCCTCCAGCCAGCAGCACAGGGGTGCCCGCAGACCTTGTCCCGGGCCCTTACCGTAGGACTCATCGCTGTCAGAGGACTTAATGCTAATCAGGATGTGCTGGTCCAGCAGGTACTCAGGGTCAGAGATGATGGGCTTCAGCTGCAGAGGAACAGGCTGGGTGAGGCTGGTGGGGGCAGTGGGTGAGCGTTGCCAGCCCAGAGGTGGAAGCACTCTGGACAACAGTAGCTGTTCTTACTGAACAAATTCCGCTTTCCATGCCCAAGTAAGCAGGAAGGGACCCGTATGAACATCCTATTCACCCAAAGGGGTGTAGGCTTCCTTTCTTGCCCCCTCCGCACTGCAGCCGGGCCCAGGGAGAGACCCTGACTCTTAATTCGTCCATCTCCATTGCTTCTTTCCTCCTTTGTAAACCCCAGTGTCGTAGGGAGAGGGGCAAGGCAGACAGGCAGGTGGCTGTGGGACTGGGACCCAGGTCTGAGGCACCCACTTGTGCCAGGCTCCCCAGATGGGGCCTTTCTCCTTGGCCGCCTCCCAGGGCCAGCAGCAGACAGTGGCACCTGTGGCCCCTGGGTAGGAGGCGGCCAGTGTCCATCTGGGTAGGAGGCAGCCTGGGGGCCACTAGTGGTACAGTTTGGGGAATGACCCCACAGACCCTGCATTGGGCCATCTGACTCCTGTGGGCGTGCTGATGGCAGGTGGGTGAATCCAGCCTCCTGGGGTAGGGCTGTGTCGGTGCAAGCACAGGAGAGGCTGCGTGTCCTGGTGCCCACACAACATAGGGGGCACATGTGGCACCTGCTGTCCCTCCCCACTCCACCTCCACCCTGCCACAGACACCGAGACCCCTTGTGCCAGCCTCTGGGTGCAGTTGGGGGCTCCAGTCACCTTTGGAAGGGTTTCTCCAAACTTCACCAACAACTCTCCTTCGGCTCCTTCTTCGTTTTCTCCTTCCTGACTCTTGACAAAACCTGTCGGGGGGCAAGAGGGCTGAGTTTTAGAAAACAGAGCAAGAAACCAGACAGACTGTCAGGGACACCCCCACCCACCCCCACAGGGAAGGTAGTCTCCCCGTTCTGTCTACAGGGGCCTCAGCATTGTTTAGGGGTGTGGGGGATTCTGTTTTGGTGCAGGGATGGTCATTTGCCAACACGGTCTAATTATTTCTATGAAAATCCGAGCATGTCCCCTTCTTTTTGGCTCCTCTTTGCCACAAACCAGGCAACAAAGAAATCATCACATCACATCGCAGGCGAAGAGATCAGGAGAGATGACAGGCGTCCCACGCCACTCAAGATAGCAGCCTTTTGAAATGCTAATTTAAGCTTCCTAATATGCTGTTTCCATAGAAATGTATGCAAATGTCTCCATAGTTTATTAAAAACACCCGCACAAAATCCTCTTCCCTTTTGGAAGGGCTTTGCCCCTGCCGCAGGGCTGGGATGCAGAGACGTGGGGGAGAAGGTCAGTGGTCACCAGGTCCCAGCCCGCGGAGGTGGGGGGGCACTGCAGGAGGGGGGCACTCACTGTCTCCCCAGTTTCTGGAAGCATCTCCCCTGTCATAAGATGGGCGGAGCTGATCCTACCCCCTCACCACTCTCCAGACCGGCTCAGCGGAGCCAGCTGGAGCCACACAGATCTCGCGGCCAGGCAGCAGCTTTAGACAATAAGCCCAGAATGTCGCCAGAAAGGGTGTTTCCTAAACACGGGAGTGCTAACTGCTGCTGCGGGCCGGCGCCAGCATGCTCAAAAACGCTCCAGACCACCTGAGAGATGCCCGCGTGAGGTGGTTGGGGGGCAGACAGAGGACCCCAAGAAATGCTAGGGGGTTACCAGCAGCTGCTTGGGCCCTGGTGCCAGCCTGGGGGAGTCATCAACTGGCGACCCTCGCTGTGGGCCAAGGGCCAATGTCCTGGGGCTGAAATAACAGCACCGCAGGCCCTGAGGGCCCCCCTCACACATTATCTGCGTGTCCCCTGGTACCCTTGACTTGTGACACCACTTCTCTGACCCCTGTTGTCACTCATCCATGAGTCCGTCCCGGGGAGGAGAAATGAAGCAAAGCAACCCCAGCGAAAAGACACTGGTGAGAAAGAGGGGGGCCTGCCCACCCTCCCCGCGCCCTGCAGGGCCCACGCACTCTCCAAGCAGCTCGAGTGGAATTCCAGGTAGAATTTGGTCTGGGACTTGGTCTTGAGCGTGGCGTAGCACTGGAGAAACTCGATCTGCCCTTGACTGTCCGCAGCCCCGGGCCCTGGAACAGAGAACAGAGACTCGTGTCTGCCACGCGCAGGAGGCAGAGCTGAGCCCTCTGGGGGCCGGGACAGGGGGGGGGGGCAGGAGGAAGGAGAGGTTTGCGGAATGCCCCACCGGAGCGCCCCTGAGATCTTCCCAAGTCCCAGCCTGGGAAGGGGAACAGAGCAGGAAGAGAAGAGTTCGGGGTCCAGAGACGCACCCTCAGCGTGCCTGCCCCCGCTGCCGCGGTCTCCCCACGGGCTCTGTGACCGTGATGCCGGGCACGACGGGACGGCTCGGCCACTGGACACGCAGATCCACTCTGTGCGAGTCGGGTGGGGCGGGTGCCGGCGCTCACCAGGGGAGCACCCGTGGCCTCAGCGGGCCGGCTGCTATCGTCAGTGACTCACGCCGGCTCTGAACTGCGTCTGTCTGTCCTTCCGTGGAAATTCTGCGCCACCGAGCTCTGCCCCCGAGCCTGCCTTTCTCTTTCTTTTCCCCGCTTTATTGAAGAATAATTGACAAATGTAATGGTCTATATTTAAAATGCACAACACGCCAACTTGCTATGTATAGACCTTGTGAAATGATTGCCAGGATCAAGGAAATTCCCACGCCCGGCACCTCACAGGTAGCTCTTCGCGTGGCGAGGGGCTGAGGTCTGCTCTCAGCGATTTCGAGGACACAGCACTGCACTGCGCCGCGCACTCCCTTGCCGTGTGTGGGTCCTCAGAGCTTACTCATCATGTCATTGTGGTTTGTGCCCTTGACCTTATCTCCCCACCTCCCTGTTCTTCTGTTTCTATGAAGTCAGCTTTTTTTTTTTTTTTTTAAATTCCACATATAAGTGACACCGTAAGGAGGTGTCTGTCTCCTAAGTATGTGTCTAGCTCTGGCTCATTTCGCTCAGTTTTTCTTTCCTTTTTTAAGGCCCACAGCACCCGGGCCTGGTCTGCTTGGGTAAAGGCCCAACCGACACTGAATCCAGGTGCTGGGTATTTGGGAATGTCCACGGCGGGCTGAGTTCCACTGGGGACAAGCCATGCCTGCGACTCGAGGCCTGCAGCGGGTGCAACAGCCCCCCCACCAGTGCAGAGGGACCCCAGAGAAAGGGAGGAGGGCGGGACTCAGATGGAAGGTCCTAAAAGGCAAAGCGAGTAAGGACGGGAGGGTGAGATGAGGCTTAGGTGGAGGAAGGAGGTCGCGCTGCTGGGCTGTGGACATTAGACCCCCGGATGGAGAAAAGCGGCTCTGGAAGGCAGCCGTCCAGTCTCCCTGGTCCCTCGGGGTAAGGAGGACACGGACATTCCAGCCCCTATCTGGAGCCCCCCACTCAGCCTCCCGTAAATGCGTGTGACACAGAAGAGGTGGGCAGAGGGAATAACACTGCTCCGGGGCCCCCAGGCTGAGAACTAGACATGAGACTGAGGACATCAGCCCCTGCGGGAACAAGGGCCTCCTGGGGGCCAGGGCTGAGCGGGATGCTTTGAAAATTACCTGCAAATCTAAGTATCACTTACTCCAGCGTTTCCCCAAGCTCGGTGATCCACCTCCTACCTTCACGATTTTTATCATCTCTGCCTACCAAGCAGCTGTGCTAATATTAACTCATGTTTTCTTTAAATCCACTCTTTTTAAGCGAAAATAAATATTTAAGTAAGAAGGTATATCACAACACTAATCGGAAACCAGTGTTGCCTGCCTACACGGAAGAGAGGAAATTAAAATATACTGAAATAAATGCATCAGTATCAAAAATTCGCCCATACCCCCCTCAGAATTATCTTTGGTGACAGATGCGTAACTCCTAAGAAAACACTTATTGACCCAATTTTCACCCCGTATTAAAACCAAAGCTTAAAATGCTGACATATTTGCCAAAAAGAGCAAGAAAATGCTCTGAACAGAAGTCGCAATGCGATTTGGACACGAAGAGACCCATCCAGAGGCCATGGGCTTCCCGGGAAGGATGAACCTTCATGGAAGGCAGACAACTGATTGCTGCAATCAGAAGATGAACGCCCCACACCGGCTGGCATGGACAATGGAGGGGTGGACATTGTCCCTGACTTACCGTTCTTGGAGACAAACTGGGAGGTGACCCCTGCCTCAAACGTGGCAAAGACAGGGCTGTGGTCACTGGTCATGATGTCACTGGTGCTGCCTGCAGGGGAGGGAAGGCATTTCTGAGCAGGAAGAAGAGACCCTTTGGTCAAGCCAAGGATGGCAAACCCATGGCAGAAATCAACTTACACCTAGGGATATTTCCAGAAGTTTCACACCTGTCATCCCATTGACTTACAGCCTGCTTAAAAAGCTCAGTGAGGTCTGATGCTGTCTCTTCGTCACTAAAGCATGCCCATACTAGTGTTTCCTAAAGACTTTTGTGTTTTGAAGTAGACAGTGGCTTGTGTACTGTGGAGATTTTTCTGGTCTAAGCCCTTACTTAATGACCAGGAGCCCATAGCCCAGAGTGGGATTAAGGTCCCTGAGCATCAGAGGAGGAGAGGCACCACCCCGACCCCCAATGCCTCGAAGGGTCAGCAGAGGGGGAAGGTGAGGAAGTGTAGACACTGAGTATAGACAACTCCTTGAAGAGTGTGGGGCTTGGGTGAGAAGGGACGGCAGCAGAGCTGTTAGGAAGAGGGAAGAGAGAAGCTCTAGAGCTTCTGAGGTCCAAGTACCTTTGATAATGCTCAGTGGGGCACACGGGCCCGGAAATCAGTGGACATGGAGTCAAGAGGTTCGGGGGAAGCTGAGTTATGAGGCTCCAGAGGGAAGGCTGAGAAGAGGCAGGGGTGAAACTCCAGGACACACCAAGCATTCATGGGGGTAGGAGAAGCCATCAGCACAGGGGACCAAGAAGGCAATAAAAGATCTGCTACCCTTTTCTGCAGAGACGCCAGCAAGAGAGAGAGAGACATCCCAGCTCTCAATCAACCAAAGGACATGGGCAATTCACACACACAAAAACAGAGATGGTTGAGAACATGGGAAAAACGCTCACGTGCTCACAACCATCACAAAACATGACGGATGGCTGAGAGAAAACGGGACGATGAGGTGGATGGAGAATGTCGAGAGAAGGACGTGGGCATGAGACTGGTCAGGGAGCAGGAGGAGGGGATGCAGCAAATCAGATAAAAAAGAAAGCTGGGGAAGAAGGAGGGGACCCCTTCTCTGAGGGAGGCGGTAGGAGGGGCATCAGCACATGTGGACCTGCAGAAAGAAGCGGGTGAGGGTCCCGGGCTGCGGTGGCTGACGCAGGCGAGGAGGGAAAGAAGACTGGAGCGGCCGCGGTGAGAAATGACAGGGTTGACAAGCTGGTTCCCTTTTTATTATTTTCAAAAATAATTTAAACCTATTTATTAACTTTGGGGGCAGGATATGCATGTATGTATGTTTATTGAGGTAAGCGTGGCTTAAAGCACTCAGTTTTAGGGGTACAGGTTCACACATCTACAAATACATGTTATCACACCTTGCCCCCCCACCCAAGTCCTCATAGTCCCCCAACACTGTGCATAGGGACTCCTCCCTGCTTTGATCTCTCTCTGCCCTCCCCCATGTGAATTTCCAATAGTTGATCACTTTTGACTACAAGAATATCTTTCTTATGGTTCCACTTTAAGAGGCTCTTTTCAAAAGAAATAAAACTGGATTTCTTTGGAAATGGCCCCTTAATTCAAACGTTCCCCAAAGCAGGGCTGTGGCTCTTCAGGTCACCTGCTCGGGCTGAGGGAGCGCTCACCATGGGCCGAAGGGCCACTCACTCACCGTAGGACTGGCACACCACGTGCACCAGGGGGTACGACTTCCAGAGGACTCGGTCACACCAGGAGGGCAAGTTGTACTTCATCTGCAAATCAAAGTCACAAACTTTGCAAAATGCCTGCTTTTTTCTCTTGTTTGTCTTTTAAAATATTAGTAAAAGATTAACTCATGGCCTCTCCAATCCTTGAATTTACCTGCTTTTGGCTGTTTATAGAATTTCCTGATAGTCTCCGCAGGTGGCTTCAAACCCTTTTCATTTGCCCCAAGTCCTGACTCCACCCCTCTAGGCCTTCCAGAGACCCCCAGTACAGAGCACCTCTGCAGCCCTCAGGCCCCGCCATGGGGTTTGCCTCCTGGGACTGGGCTCTGGAAGGTGCCAGAACTTTACACTTAGCATCTGTGCCAACGTCTTTCAACCTGAAATGGATTAGTGCTCCTCAGCCCTTGTCATATCTACTTGTGGAAACCTAAGCCATCCTTCAAAATGCCCCTGCTGTGAGGAGCCTGTCCAGGTCCTTCCTGCCCTGAATGCCCATCCCCTGCCTGGCTGCTCCGTGGGGCACTTGGCACCATCATATCCTACCCCTGGGTACAGTCAGCTGTGCCTTTGCCTGGCCTTGTCTTTCCTACTATAAATTTTTGGGGGCAGATGGCTTAGTCCTCTTTGGCCTCCCATCACCTAGGAGAGTGCCAGGCCCATAATAGCTCACCAGTAAATATTTTTTGAAGAACAACGAATAAAAGCTTTACTGCAGTTTTCTCCAGACACTGTTCCTTGGAACATAAGCATTTGCAGAAGATATAAGTTGGTACTCCAGGACTGGGTGAGGCTGGCACACGATGTTCCACCACGCTCATTAACACATAAAAGGCTCTGATAAGTCCTGCAGCAGCAAGCTGCTTAATGGTGATTCGCTTGGCAAAGCAGCAAATACATTTGATCAGAGGTTTTTTGTTTTTTTTGTTTTTTTTTTAAATTTAAGCATGAGCTTCAGAATCCAAATAAGGAAAGCATGCTTTAAATTCTCTCAGAATCTCAGTCTATCTGGACAGAAGGCGGATAATAAGGAGCATGCACTCTTGGCTAGCAGGGTGCAGCCTCTCTGCAGGGAAGAGTTTTTTTGCTCTATATATAAATCAACACATGATTTCTAACTTGTGGGCCAGTGGACAAGGATGCTCTTCACTTCCTGTTCGCCTCTATGGGCACAGACACAGGAGGAGTGAGCCGGCCCCGGTGGGGGCGGGGCGGGGTGTGTGCCAGGGACTCACCCCGGTGGCCTTCTGCTTCGTGTAGGCGTACTTGTCCCGGGTCAGTCTTTCAAAGCGGTAGGTGGGTGCGAACGTGATTTCTTCCTCCTCTGCGACCAAACGAAACCCTGGTTTCAGTTTCCATTCCCGTACATCTCTGGCTGAGGTTCCTCCTTCCATACTCCTTCCCCAGGGAGGTACGGGGTGCGGGGGGATGGGGAGATGGTAGCTGGAGAAGGGAAGAGGCCACGGGTCTTACCAAAGTGCAGGAAGACCTTCTGCTCCTTCCTCTCCATGAGCAGCTGGTCGTGGGCCAGGAGGTCGCTGTACTGCTGCTGCTTGATCTTCTGGATGATGGTTTCTGCCTCCTGCAGGACACCAGCCACCGGTGAGATGCCACCTCGTACCATGACGACCAGGAGCACCCGCACCCTCCTGCTGGCTGCTCCAGGCCTGGAGACCCCGGGGCGGCCCAGACCCTGGTACCAGCAGTCAGTTCTCCCCCAGGGCCAGGCCCCAGCCTGCCCTTCAGGGGCACCAGAAGCAACCCGTCTGGTGCTAGTGACTGTGACTGCCCACAGCCCTTCCCAAAGAGGCCTTCACCTCCTGAGTGACAAAGCCCAGTTGTGCCCTGGGGCCACTCTGACCACCACTCACTGGACGGTGCTGGACACCTGACTTAACGAATGTCTTCCTCAGGCCGGCCAGTCACTGGCAATTTGGGGAGAAAATTGAGCTGGTTGCCTCAGCCTCTCCCGCAGGTCTGGGCCCAGCCAGTCGGGGCACTGAAGCAGCAATGATGGTGAGGAGGGGCGGCCAGTACAGGGAGTGGGGTGAGGGGTGAGCAGAGGCTGAATGTCTGCAGCGGGAACTGCCTGGAGTCCAAAGGGGATAGTGCCCTTGACCCAGCTCGGTCTGTATCTCCATGATTCTGCCCCAGCCCCAGGGTCTCCTCACCCAGGTGGGCAGCCCCAGCCCCAGGGTCTCTTCCCTCAGGTGGGCAGCCCCAGCCCCAGGGTCTCCTCACCCAGGTGGGCAGCTCTACACGGTAGTTGAGGTCGCCGAGCCAGAAAAGGTGGGTGAACCGGTGAGTGATGTTAAAAGGACTCAGCTTCTTATCTCCCAGAGCCAGAAACCGGAGAATGTTCATATAGTTTTGGTTTCGCCTAATTCAGGGAAAAGCAGAGATCTTAGCTCAGGTTGCTGGCTCCCTATGCATCTCGGGAGGCCGTCAAGGGGGATTGGGGGAACCTGAGACTTCAATCTTCAGCGCCTGCCGTGCAGGTGGGTCCAGGTGGGAAGCAAGGAGCCTTTCAGGTAGAACCAGGAACAAGGACACCGGCTCAGTGGGGAATTGGAATAGTGAATTTTCGAGATGCCCAGGCCCACTAATCAGGAAAATGGGCTTTGATCTGTAGGGTGCCCCCAAAAGGGGATCCCCCTTAGAAGTGGGAGGCGTTTGGGTCTATTAGGCCAACGACATGGGAAATGTCTGTTCTGTCCTTCAGACCAGCTTCATCCACACCAGTGGCCACTGCTGAGCTCTGGGTGCCTCTAAGGGGACAGCCCTGAAGGCCGACAGGGCAGGCCCAGCCCAGGGCCAAGCAGGTAGTTGCCGTGTTTAGGGGCGCGAGGTCTGCCTGGCAGAAACCCCAACACAGGCCCTTTGGGGAAAGAACTCCATTACCTGAGTTTCTTTTCGCTTCCCGAAGTTAAATGGCTGTTCACAAACCCCAAGGAGGTGCCGTTGAACATGAAGGACACCCCCACAGCTCCCTTGTTTCCTGTGGGGGGGGGGGAGAAAGAAATCAGAACAGCAAACAGGTGGGAGAGGGAGGTGAAAGGATGTTATTATTAAAGAACCAGGAGGACAAAGGAGAAAGCAGCGGGGGGGCTTCCTGGTGGGAGGTGGAGGGGCAGGGGTATGGGGGGGCGGGCTGGGGGAGGGGCGGGCGGGGCCGGGTCTCCACCAAGACCACGCGAAAGCAGGCAGAGGGCCAGAGCGTGGGCTCTCCACCGGCTATGGGAGATGAGGGTGGAACCCACCCCTGCCTCTCCCGGTAAGGGGGGTATCTGTGAGTTACCATCTCCCTCTAAGGGGAGTCCCAGTCACCCCACATGCCAAGTAAGAGAAGAGTCAGGAGGAGGAGCCCAGGGCTGGGGAGCTGACTCCCCCGCAGCTGACTCCAGGATCCTGGGGAGACCCAAAACCTGCGCTGAGTCCACCTCTTTTTGGTCAAGAGCGTTCAGCTATTCTAGACCGTGGCTCTCAAAGGGCGCTCCTGGACCAGCACTGCAGCCTGACCTGGGAACTTGCTGAAAATGCACATGTTCATGCACAAGTGCCTCCCGCCCCCGGCCCCCGCCCCTTGGAAACCTCGGGGCGCAGGGAAGAAAGGGGTGAAGGTGTGGTGTCTGTGTTGAACCAGCCAGGGGCAGAGAGACACGGGCCCACTGCCAGCCCTAAATGGTCTTTATATTTTTTAATAGTTGGGAAACAAATCAAAAGATTATTATCCATGAAACCGGTAAGACACTCCAATTTCAGAGGCCGCACCTGCCTCTGGCGTGACACAGCCACGCCCCCAGACAGAACAGAGACTGCAGAGCCTGGATGTTTCCTGCCCAAACTGAGAAAAAGTCTGTGGACCCCGCTCCGGGTTGCCCTGACACGTGTGGCTCTGAGCACCTGTGGCTGAGCAGTGGCCACGGCGGGCTCGGCCCTCGCGCCTGGGCTGCGGGTGAGAGGAAGAGGAGGAGGGGTCACGCACTGTGGGAGGGGTGTAGACGGGGCCAGCCCCCCCCAAGACAGCACGGAGGTTTCTCAGAATATTAAAAACTAGTCTACCATGTGGTCCAACAATCCCCTGCTAGGTATCTCCCCAGATAAGACAAAAACACCAACTGAAAGGCACACGCGCATCGCCCCGTCCACTGCGGCGCCACGGACGGCCCCAAGCTGTGGAGACAAGCTCAGCGCCACGAGAGAGGGGTGATGTTGAACACTCCAGCGGGTGCTCCTCAGTCACTAGAGATGGCACCTTGCCATTTGGGGCAACGTGGAGGGACCTGGGGGGTGATGCTGAGTGAAATAAACCAGAAGGAGAAAGACAAACAGCAGATGATTTCACTCGCAGTGGAATATGGAGAACCAAAGCAAAGGAACGAACCAGAACAAACTCTAGAAATCTGCTGCAGAACCGAGGCTCCCACAGGGGAGGGGAGCAGGCCCAGGGGAGGGTGGTGAGCTACAGGGCCTGTGCTGGGCACGCTGTGGCCACCACACCTGGGAGGTGAATCTACACCTGGAATAATAGCGGAGCACGAGCTGCGGCTGGTCCCCACGGAGGGGGCCTGTGCGGGTCTCCCTTTGTCAGCCTCCGGAGAAAAACGGAATGTAAATTATCTAATCATTTTTTAGCTCAAATACCTATAGAAAGGGTAATATTTGGGATGTATGAGGTTTGAGAAAATTGACCTCACCTGTTTCTTTCTACTTTCTTTGGAAAATTGAAAGTGACCTACAGAGGATTGTCTTCTGTCCGGGCTCAACAGCGCTGGGATGGCAGGAGCCAAAGGCCCTTGGGGATCATTGACTTTGCCTCCCTGGCCATGGCCGTAGCCGGTCAGCGCCCCGCCTGTGCTGGGACAGAGGTGGCAGAGCCAGGACGGGCCTCCTTGCCCTCCGGTCCTGGCTTTCCCCTGGCTCGCCCCAGCCCTGATCGGGGTGGCCCAGTTTTCAGCTTCCTCCCCCTCCTGCAGTGTGAACTGGGTTTAAATCCCTGCCCGCCCCTTCTCTTCAGTGGACTGCATCCCTGCGGCCTCCAGGGAGGAGAGGGAGGGGCTCACCCAGAGCATTTGGATTGAGATAAAACTCCCACAGCGTTCGACACAGGCAACACTCTCAACACGCCAGCTCTTCTGAAGACCCACATCCTCTCGGTCCACCCACGTCCACGGGGCTCCCGCCTGCGCTGGCCACAGCTGAGAGCACTTTGGGGGAGTTGGGGAGTGAGGGAGGGGCTGGGGTCTCCTTCCTTTAAACTCCCCTCACGACTCTACAGCCCAGGCCTTTTCCTGCCTCCCCAGCCTCGCCCCATGATCCACCAGGGCCTCAGCTTTGCTGTTCCCGCCATGTGGCGCCTTCCAACCCTCCTTACCCCTTGGACCTGAGTCCCCTCTCAGAGGGCCCCCTTGAGCCCCATCTTCAGTAGCACCTAGAGCCTGTCAACCCCACAGCACACACCCCTGGCCAGCACACGGTCACTCAGGGGCCATCTTCCTGCCTGTCCATCCGGCAGGCTCCTGCTGGCCTCGGTGATGGGCATTGTGCTGGGAGGTGGGTGGGCAGGCAAGCGGGACGGAGGCGGGCACAGGCAGAGGTGGGGCAGGGTCTAGGAGGAGGTTCCTGGGCAGCAGAAAGGCGTGGGCTTCGGGGCGATGGCCACATTAGCCGCCGATTCCCCTCGACAGGAAGGAAGGAGGGACGTGTGGGCGTGGACACGGGCAGTTTGCGGTTTGTCGGCAGAAAGGCTGAGAGAGCTGTTCATGTTCGGTTGCTGCAATTCTCCTGTTTCCTGTTATTGCCGGGCCATGTTCTGTCCCTCACTCCAGCTGCCAGACCACTGGCCTTGCCCTCAGCTCCACTCTCGTCCCTGTGTGGGGCACCTGCCTGCAGGCACACACACCTGTCCACACGCACACTCACCTGCCCACGTGCCCTCACACATCCCCACTTACACTCAGACTCACACACACAGGTTTGAGCACGCATACACACACGCGCCTATCCCCCGCAGAGGCTGGACATACAGCAAACACGCATTAACACCCACGGCCTGACACGCTCACCAACACCCACTCACACAGATGCACACTTACAAACATGTACTGTGGAAACACTCACACGTCTGTCTACACACACATGCTGGAACACTCATCACAGACATGTATTTACATTTACATACACTCACACACATGCACTCAGGCTCACACTCTCTTACAGACATGCCTTCATCCCCCTCACACCCACACACGCAGTTCTCTGCATTTATTAAAATTCTTGGAGCCCAGGGGCTCCAAGCTGACACCAGTGTTTCCAGATCTAGACCGAGGTGGGTAACCTACAGCTCGTGGGTCGGGTCCAGCACGCGGCCTGTGCTTATCAGTCACATTTCCAGAACAGTCTCACTCCTCGTTTCCACGCTGTGCATGCCACGAAGCCTAGACAGTCGACACTGCTAAACGCGTCACCATGACCAGCTGCGTGACAACGGTGGTCCCGGCGTGCCCCCAGGGCAGGCACTAGGCCGACCGTCTAAGGTTGTGCAATTTCAGGGTGTGATGTTCAGACAACAACAAACTTGCCTAACGACACACTTCTCAGACTGCCCTGCTATGCAGCACACAACTGCAATATTTACTCTGGCCCTTTACAGCAAACATCACCGTCGGCCCCTGTTCTAGGTGCTTGTACTCAAGGTCGGGGCTGTGAGCCAGTAGCACCGACACCAGGCGCCTGATGAAACACTGGCAGGGACCCTGGCAGTGATTCTAGGGGACCCACCACCCCAGTCTGCCCAGCCTGGGGGGCTCCGAGGACTGAGATCCCAGACCTTAACCCTAGGAGTCCCCGCTGGCCCTGAAGAGTGGATTCGTGCATGTGGACCCGGGATGCCAGGGAGGGGGCTCTGCCCTGCTCACCCAGCGTGTTGGCGATGCCCGTCTTCACGTTGTCCGTGCAGATGTGGCTGATCCGGTTCTCGTGCTCCGGCTTGGCCAGCACCACGATTCGGATATTCCACAGGGTGTGGATGGCGATCTGGCAAAGAGGACAGCTCTGAGCCCTCGGCCAGAAGCAGGCGTGCCCACCACGTCCCCACGGCATGCCCACCACGTCTGCAATCCCTTACATGTCGGGGGACTGAGCACACCCCCCAGATGAGACAAAGTATCTTAAAGAAGAGAGCCGGGACTGAGGAGCTGAGCGTGGATGGGAACAGGGACGACCTTGGGGATCTTCAGCAACACCCATGGGCCCCATCAAGTACACCTGGGTACAGGTGTTCCTCTCTGATCCTGGAAGGTGGAGGGCGCTGGGCGCTGGGACCTAGCTGCTGGCCTACCAAGGCCTACCCAGAGTCCCCCCAGCACCCGCCAGTGCTCACTGTTTTAAAAGTCATGCTGGTGATTTCTTGCAGGGAGTTTCGGAGGGTCTCCAGCCATTCCTTCTCTCCCAGGGGGTCCTCCTGGGTGCCGATCACATAGATGTCGTGGGGGATGTAATCAGCAGAGTCATCCCTCGTCTTCCCCTGCCCCTTGGAGAGAAACCAGGACGTGATCTTCTTGGGAGGGGTGGCGTTACCTTCAACAGCAAAACCCAACACAAGTGAGTCAAAGGCACATGAGCAAAATTCAAAACAGGGGTGGGGGGCTCGCACGTCACTGAAAGCGCATCTAACCACCCAGCAAAATCCCGAAGATGGAGAACGAGGGTCCAGCCCAGAAGCCGGGCCCGCTGACGGTTCAGTTACGTTTCTTTCTTCTTCTATTTTAAAAATGATTTATTTATTTATATATTTTTACATCATTGTTCTTTTTTTTTTTTTAACAATGTTTACTTCCTTTTCTCACCTGTGCTTTTTCCCACCTTCGTTTTGATCCCTCTTCCTCCTCCTCCCCTGCAAAATGTGTCTGCTATATAGCTGCCTATTAATTTTGGGTTTTATTGTTATTATAGTTTCCCCCGATCCCTGATTTGGTTCCCCTATATTCCTCCCGTAAGTGAACCATCCAATATTTTTCTTTTTCCTTCTGACTTGTTTTACTGCGCGTCATCCCTTCTAGCTCCATCCATGTTGCTGCGAATGGCATCAGTTTATCTCAGTTATGTTTCTTTTTAAAGAGAACTTTATGTTTCAAAAGTTAGAAACACCTGAAGATTCCAGAAGGCGAGGAAACAGCTGCACAAGAGGCCGGATGTGGAGGTTAGTGTGACGCAGGTAACTGAGTCACGGTCCTTGAGCACCTACACCCCACTGGCCAGTTGGCGGACAGCCTTTGTCGGGAGACAACAGTGACTTCCTTGCAGCAGACAGATCTCAGCCCAGACTGAGACGTGGGGGTGTCAGCCAGAGAATGGGGAGGGCAGGAAGACCACTCCATGCGGCCATTTGAAAAAATGAGTGGGAGCAGTTCCATAAAGAAATGATGCAAGAGGGCCTCCCTGGTGGCACAAGGGGTTAAGCACCGGCCTATGAAGCAATCCGAGGCCTCTGCGGCACAAGTTCGATTCCCAGCCGGCCAGGGAGCAACCCACATGGCGCAGCAGACCTCTCCTGTCTCCCCACTGCTCTCCTCAGCAGTGTTTTCCATCAGTCTGCCAGTTCTGTTCCCCACTCTGTCTCTGGTGAACCCTCTCATATCTGGCCTGTGCCCCAGGTCTTGTATGCATAAATAAATAAACCTTAAAAAAAAAAAAAGAAATGATGCAAGAGCTGTTTCTCTTGCACTGCCCTCGAAGGTTGAGTAAACTTTCCAAAGTTGATCATCTCCACCCACAAGTGCCAAGCAGCCAAGAACTACAGAAACTTGACCTCTGCGGAGTGTGGCTCCCACTGACTCCGAAGTGTTAGCGCCCCCCCTTGGCCTGTCCCGGTATAGCAGGTGCCCTAGGGCCCCACGCCCCAACTTCCAAGGTCTACTGTGTCAAGGCCGCCCCTGCAGCTGTGCAGCAAGGTAGCCCTCCCCACACCCAGCCTGATCTAAACCCTCGAACCCAGAGGAAAATCACAAAGGGGCCGTGTGCCCAGGGCATGAAGCCCAAGAGGGAGAGCTACTGAAATGGGAGGCCAGTAGGAAACACTGGCCAGAACATCAGGGGCAGGACCCCTGGCGCCAGCCTGGATTCTACATAGGTGCCACCATAGGATACCTGGGGTCTCCACTCCCCGCCGGAAGCCCCAGCCCATTCACTGGGCAGACAGGCCTGAAGGCACAACTGCAGCTTCATCTCCAGATTGCACTCACCCCTTCCAGGGGTTCAACCTTCCCCTTTCCAGCGCTGCTGCTGTTGGGGGGACTCTACAGGGTCAGGAGCCCAGACCAAGCAGGGAGACCAATGCCCATTAAATTGAAATTTTAGAGAAACAACAGATAATTTTATAAATTGGGGCGATATCTCTTTATCTGAAATTCACATTTAATAGGACACCCGGCATCTACCTATTTTTTAAATTTATGACTGAATGCTTACAATAAACAATTATTTAGCATAGCTTATATCTAGTATATTTTGCATGTACATATACAGTACATCTATTAAGTAAAATGTGCACATTTATTATTTCAAGCATTTGATACATATTTATCAGTTATTTCCAGCTAAACAGACTAAATGTTTCGCACAACTCACATTCAGGAAACATATGATTAGTATATGATATACATTAGTATGTAAATACATAGCACAATATAGATTTAAAATGCATGTATTTATTTACGTCTAGCTAAACACCCATTTAAAAATATTGTTTGCTATTTGTGTACAATTCAAGTTTAACTGGGCATTTTCTCTGTCTCTCCCCCCAGTCAGGCTGGTCTTTCTTCCAGACTTGGGGGCCCCGGCAAGTTCCCTAAGTTTGGCAGGTGCCCCAGTGCTCCTTTATCTAGGTATTTCCCCTCTTCACCCCCAATTTTCCAATTCAGCCATGCAAAGCAACCTGTTTCAACTGCTCTTGGGCATGAGAACCCAGCGCTCCTCTCTCCTGCCCACCCCCTCGGGAAAAGGACAGGGTCTCTGGGAAGGCGGCGTGCAGAGGGCTGGGGGCACGCGAGGGTCCCGGCCGCACGGACCTACCCATGTTCCAGGTGCCGATGAAGATGGTGATCATGTCGGGCTCCGGCTGCTCCGAGTGCTTGTTCTTCATCTGCTGCAGGAGCTGGCAGAAGCCCTCCCGCTTCTAGGGGTTAAAGAGCAGACAGACTAGCAAGGCCTCTGCCTCCCCACAGTGTGCTTTCAAAGCACGCGGTCAGCCCAAGGGAACCGAAAGATCTGGAAATGCACGCCCAAAGCCTTAAGACAGCGTGACCTCCCTTTGACCCAGCCTTCCCTAAGCAAGACATGACTCAGAGGAAATAAAAAGGAAAGTGTGGAGAAGCCACCACATCTGGGCACCGCAGGCCACGCTTCAGTGCAGAAAGCAGAACACGTAAGTGTCCAGCCTCAGAAGGTGAGGTAGGAGCTGTACTGTGGGCCAGTGGGGGTGTCCCCATGGGCCTGCCCTGAGAGCCGTTGTCCCTCAGTCTGCCCACGGTGCCCATCACACAGGGAGCCAGCACCTGCCCAGGAGGGAGCCGTGTGTGTTGTGGCCCATGGTCACTGCCCCCAATGCTAGAGGATGGACAGGACAGCCACACAGAGGGGTTCCAGCTCCTCGATGGTACTGACCAATGCTAACACTTAAGTGGGAACCTCTCTCCTTGGTCTCAAATAAGGGGTGCATGTCAAGAGCCAGGATACAGCTGGTCTGGTGCTAAGAAGGGGCTGGGCCCATGGAAAACGCTCTTTGTGAAAAAGCAGCATTGTGGAAAACTGCTGCCTCCAGGCAAGTCAGTAACTTCAAAGAACATCAATGAGTGACCTGCTAGAAATGAGTGACCTGCTAGAACTCCAGGCTCCAGAAGATTCTAAGTAGACGGGTAAAATCTAACAGCCCTGTTGGTTTCCCTCGATGCACAGATGTCAGATGGGTTCATTAACCAGACTCTCCATGACACAGTTCCCCGCAAACTGTCAAATCCTCACCGAGAGGCTCAGAATTCAAGCAGCTTCTGTCCAGCGGGGGCCACCCCCTCTCACCCAGGAGCCGGTCCCAGCAGGGGATCTCCTTGCAGACCAGGGGCGGCAGGAGGCAGAGGGGAAGGGGCAGCCCCTGCTCAGGCCCAGGCTCCTGCCCGCCTGGGCTGGGCTTTCCCAGGTGGGAAGGGGCCCTGGGAACTGAGTGCCCCAACGGTGCCAACTTGCAGGACGCAGCAAACCTCAGAAGCATCCCTCACTCCACTCTTGTCTTTGAAGCCTGTTGCCACTGACCTTGGAATCAGCAAAAACGTATTCCTTCCGCAGGGTCTTTTCCTTCTCGGTTTCTACCAAAATCACCAGCTTGTTCAGAAACTTCTGAGACTTGATGAGCTGCAGGACTTAAGTGAAAAAAAAGGCCCATTTATTCCTGTACCCCCTTATCTTTCTGTACCTTCCCATACTTCAGGGAGGAGCCATCAACTCTATCCCCCTGCTGAGCAACAGATGTGTACTGAGCCCACCCTCCCCGCACCCCCAAGCTCCTGGCTGCTCTTCCGGGGAGGGGCTCGTGCTCTCGGGGAAGGTGGAATGGGGAACTATCTAGAAGGTGCTCTGGCCAGAACAGACACAGGGTGACTATTGTCATCTCATCTCCCCCCACCCCTGCTCTTTCTCTTTCTTCCTCCTCCCTCCCCCCTGCCTTCTTTTGCTTTATTTTTTAAAAAAGATTTATTTATGCATACAAGAACTGGGGTACAGGCCAGCGGTGTGGGGGGTGAGAGGATTCACCAGAGACAGAGCGGGGAACAGAACAGGCAGACTGACTGAAATACACTGCTGAGGGGAGCAGCGGGCAAGACAGGAGAGGTCTGCTGTGCCATGTGGGTTGCTCCCTGGCTGGGGATCGAACTCGTGCTGCAGTGGCCGCAGATTGCCTCATAGGTTGCATCTTAACCCCTTGCACCACCAGGGAGGCCCCCTTCTTTTGCTTTATAAATACTTACATAAAAGTTAAAATTTTACCTAAATTAATTAAAAATTTTAAGTTATATACATGTAAATTTTGAAAAATGTTTACTGCTATCAATGATTAAAAGACCCAACTTCTTCCATAAGACTATTATAAACAACACCATCCCCTCCAAGGCCCCGCTCCTTAGAGGCGGCCACTTGCAACTCTCTTGACAGATTCTTTTGGAATTTTTCTCCGTGCTCTAAATAACATGTTAATGTAGCTACTACCTGTTGTTTCCGTTTTATTTATTTATTTTAATAAACTTTTATAAAAGATTTATTTTATTTATTTATGCATAGAAGAGCTGGGGTATAGGCCAGAGGTGCGGGGGTGAGAGGATTCACCAGAGACAGAGTGGGGAGCAGAACAGGCAAACTGACGAAATACACTGCTACACTGCTGAGGGGAGCAGAGGGGAGACAGGAGGGGTCTGCTGTGCCTTGTGGGTAGCTCCCTGGCTGGGGATCGAACTCAGGCCATCATGGTGAGCGCGCTGAAACTTAACCCCCAGGCCACCAGGGAGGCCCCCGGTATTTCAGTTTTAAATATCTATCTACATAGAGATTCCCCACTATGAAAGATGAAGGCTTAGTTCCCTTTCACACAAACCTGTTCCCCCCATCATGCCCTTCTCCCAAAGCATAACTTCAGTCCCTCCACCATCCTGCCAATCATTATATCAGTGCCTACACTAGGCACCCAGGGTGACCCCTGCCTCCTAGGGGGTGCCTGGGGTGGATGCACCAAGGGAGAGGCAGCCTATGTCCCTGGAGACCCCAAGGGAAGAGGCAGAACGTCCAGGGAAGGCCTTGTGCAGCAAAGGGCACGACAGGTGGCCTCTGGAGCTGGGCCGGAGTCCCCCAGGCAGGGAAAGGGACTGGGGGGCACTCTAGGCTGGGGGGTGCGCCCCAGGCCCTCCTTGCGGGCACCAGCACAAAGAGGGCATTGCAGGTCTTACTTTTCTTGTGGTTGTAGAATTTGTCTTCAGAACCATCCTTGGACTTCTTAACGATCAGTTTTCCAGATTCAACGTCCACTTTGAGCTGCAGTTTCTGGGGAATTCCTAGCGACTCCGACTTCACCTTCGAAGAAAAGGAGCGGGGAGGAGAAGAGTGTGGGAGAGTGTCAGTCACCCCTTCTCGGGCCTGGCTCTCGCAGGCTCAACTGCGGGCCCTTGTCTGAATGACTGGGCAGCCCTTGGCCATCCAGCCCTGGGGCCCCTTAAGCCTAGCACCCCTTTCTCTTTCCTCTCCCCAGAGCCACGGTCTGTTTCCACGGCCGCTACACGATGCCGGGGCGCTGATGGCCGGGTGCACCCCGGCGGTCCTGCCAGCAGGCCTGGTGGGAACGGATGAGCTCCTGGAAATGGTTCACCCACAGCTCAATTTGAAAAAATTCATTAATGTGCCGCCGTCCACTTCCAGAAAGTATTTTAGTAACAGAGTGAAGCTCCTGGGCCTAATTATCGTTACGACCAATAATTGAACATTTACTGACAATAATTAGAGGGGCCGAGATAGGCGCTGAAGACGGGGATATAGCTTAATGCAGAATCATCTAGGGCTGGAAAGGATTTTGGGGTGAGTGTGGGGCATCCCGCCCTGTGTTTCTCAGGTGGGACCAGTGCTAGACAGGGCATCAGAATCTCTGGGGGTTACTAAGAAAAACACATTTCTGGGCCCTGAGTCGCTCTCAGGAAAATCAGAGGGACCCTCTTTGTCTTCCTTGTCTGAGGGGGCCCTTGTGAGTCCTCGGGCAAGTTAGGCAGCCTCAAGGACAGTGCAGGGCTTCAGGAGAGTTAAGGAAGGCTCCAGAGATAAGGACCACCAAGTCCAAAGGGGACTCATCACACACCCCAGGACTTAGGACATCAGGGACTTACTTCATGATCTCAGGGTCAACAGGACATTCCAATACAGGGCAGTGAAGATTAAAAAGGGCTGGGACACAGAGACTTAGCTCTGGGCACGGAGGCATTGGGCAGTGATGAGCCGACCGAGAACTAGCCAAGCACAGGAGCCTGGTGGGGCTTTAGGATAACCAGGGAGAGAAGGTCTATGCTCCCGAGACACGGCTCCACGCGGCTTCCTCGCCCCTCCCTGGCCTGGTTCCATGGCCCGGGAGTCCCACTTTATTTCTGTTCCTTTTCTCCTCAATAAACTTTTTCTTTCTCTAAGCAAATCTGCTCTTCTCGCTTGCTTGCCTGAGGGTCTGCGAAGCTCCTGCTGCGGCTTCATGAGACACCAACCCGTGGTGGTCTAGGGCTGGGCCTCGGGGCTGCCCCTGGGCTCAGCGCTGCCCCTGCAGCCTGGGAGCTGTTCCTGGCTGGGAGACTAGGCCTGAAAACCTGTAATTCCAGGATCACTTGCCCTCGTGAAGCTGAGCCCAAGCCCTTCTTCCACAGGGACCAGAACCTTCCCCAGGCCCCAGCCACTTACCTCGAAGGTGACCGGAGGGATGAGGGAACGCCTGTGGGTGGACTCAGGACCCTCGTGCAGCAAGGCCTTGACCTACGGACATAAATGCAAGGTCAAGGGAATTCAGGTGAGAGGTCAAGGGAAAGCGGCCTCCCTTGGGACAGTCAAGTGGCGCGCAGAGCCTGCACACCTGGGCAGTCTCTGGGTAAAGCGGGGATGCAAAGAGAGGTCAGCAGAAGCTGCAGGGTGCTGGTACCTTGTCTTCCAACGAGGACAGCAGGCTTGTCAGTTGGCTGAGCTTGGCCACCATGTTGATGGGATTGGCTTCCCCAGGCACCTGGGTGACGAGGAAAAGGGCACATTAGAGCCGCCACCGGTGTGGGGGCCACGGAGAGATGCTGAGCTGGGCTTCAGCTCATACAACCCCCAACGGCCCCCGCAGTACCATCATCACTCCTGCAAGTAGAAAAGGAAATTGGGGCTATCTGCAATCACCTCAAAATCACCAAGGCCAAAAAATAAGTCTCCATTTCTCCTTCCCTCTAAACCTGCTTCTCCCCAGCTCGCCCACTCAGTTGCTTAAGCAGAGCTCGGGGATTGCCTTCCCTCCTTCCCACATCTACAGCAGGGATGTTCCTGCTCTGCCTGCAAAACACAGCTGCCCTCCAGGCAGGAGCCCTGGCAGTTGCTCCCCAGCCCTGGGAGAGAATCACCCCAACTGAGCGCTCCGCCTTCCCCCAGGCACTCTTACCCTCACTCCCCGCGCCCCCCACCCCAGCCTTGAGCTCTGCTTCCCCGGGATCCCTGCAGACTTGGATTCTCCTGGGGAGGCCACCTCCACGTCAATCAGGCCTCAGGCAGACAGAGACCTGGAGACCCTCCAGCTAAAACAGTCACAAGCCACCCTGGCGTGTTTCCTGTTATTCGCCACCACGCTTTGCCCCTTGTAATTTTCCCCAGTCAACTGTCAGCTCCTAGGGAATCGTGGCGCCGTGTTCAGTGCCGCCAGCCTGGTGCAGCCCCAGTCGGCTGCCCCCGCCAGACACGAGGCCCAGGGAGCCGCGGCTGCTCAGTCGCAGAACTAGTGAACAGCAGAACCAGACTGGAAGGTTTGCCTGCTGCCATCAAGTTTATGGTCTTGAACGTTTATTTACAGAACAAACATTTCTGAAGCATCTGGACTAGACACGCGGCCGGGTGCTGGGGGTGTAGCCTCAGTAAGACGCCCTCCTGCCTGCCAGCCAGAAGTCAGGGGAAAATCAGGCACGCGCAGGACTAAACGGAATGTCAGGTGGACCGGAATGCGGCTTATCACCACCAGACGGACGCCCCCACAACCAAGCCCCGCTCAAGTCAGCCAGGCCCTGCTGCTTTGGGCCCAGCCCAGGCTCCGCCCGGCGCCTTCAGGGCCACTGCCACCGTCACATCCAGCACCCCCCAGCCCCACCGCTGTTAGGGGGAAAAGGCTGTCCCTAAAGCTAATTCCATACAGGCTTTGTGGACTCCACCCCCACCCCAGGCCAAAGCCACAGACACTGGGAACTCCACATCCCATCCCCACCCAAGGGAAGGTGGCTGGGACCTGAGGGTGGGGTTCAGCACCCAGGTGGGTATAAAGCCAGACACGTGGGCTTTGGAGGGGTCCCCCATTTTGGCTCTCCGCCAGCTCTGAGAGTGCCTTTGGGTTTCCAGGTCGGCGGATCGGGTAGGACGCATGAAAGACTTTATTTCCCTATTTTCTCCCTGAGTTGTACATTTTCCTTATTTCCTTTTCCCTTGTAAATAAACCTTTATGAACCTTTTGTGTGTGCCTGTGGTGGAGTATTCATAAGTCCCTTGTAAGCGCGGGTGAGGACCCACGGCCAGGAACCCCGTTCAATATCAGGGCTGCCCTATAACAAGAAGAGGGGACAGTTCCAGGTCCTCTCGTGTTCAGGCTGCTTTTCTCCCCAGGAGCTGCAAAGACGACACCGCCTCCTTTCCCCTCGGACTCGGGATTTCCCGCCAGCGGCCCGGGGGGCCACCCTGCGCTTTCAGGAGGGCGCCGTCCTGTCTTCCCTCTCGCTGAATCGGCTCTTGCTGTTGCTTGTCCTCCCGTAAGCACCCTTTTTTATACCCTTCTTCACTTTAAAATTGGTAAAATAATTTTCACTTAATTATTTGCAGGTGATTGAAAAGTAAAACTTTCTCAAGCCTCATCCCTTCTATCTGGTGCAAGGGTTTCCTCTCTTGCTGGTTTTTGAGCTGTTGACCCCTTTCCTCAGGTAGATGGGCAAGCTGGCCAAGGTCCTGGTCGCGCTGTGTGTGTGGGGGTGGAGGGGTGGGGGGAGGCAACTCCACCTGGCCCGAATTCAGGTACCTCCTTTTTCTGTTGTCTTCCAGGGAACGACGGGAGGCTCTGGCTTGCCCCCTGAATGGGCACTGAGTAGGCGGCTTTGTGTCCTAGTGTGCCAGGGCGCACACTAGGCATCTTTATTCCCCCAATCAAAATCTGGCAGAAAAAAGCCTTAGCAATTGTGGGATCCCAGTGCTGAGTCCTTTCACCCCAATGCATAATCACGCTGTCCTACAGCGCTGGGGAGGAGGGGTGCGCCTTTCCAAGGCCCTGGCACACGGGTTGCTATGTCCCTCTCCCCCAGCCCCTGGTTTATCAACCCCACCTTTCCCAAAGCCTTTACCTGAGGTCGAGGACGGAGGCCCGGGGAGAGCTGCTGATCGAACAGCCTCTGCAGGGATTCCAGGGCCGGGAGGGTCCGTACCGCTTCCCTGGGGGCAGGCACAGGTGAAGGTCAAGGATTAGTGAGGGCCCAGCAAGGCTCTGCCACAACCAACCTGGCAAAGGCAGGGAATCCTCCCAGAAGGACAAGCCCAGGCAAAGATTCAGGCTGCCAGAGCTGCCCCCCAGCCCCTCCCCCACTTTCCACCCCCCACTCCAATGGAGTCCTGAGGCGGAGACCTGATTTACTCCTGTTTAGCATACCAGACTGTGTAACCTGTAGGAAAATGTGAATCTAAAATCACAGAACTTCATTGCAATCACTTAGTAATTCACGGTTCCAACCTTTAAGGTTTATAGGAATTACACACACACACACACACACACACACACACACACACACGTGTTTAAAATGTTAAAATGCAAATTTATGGGCCCCACCCGGATCAGGTCTGGAATCTGCATTTTAAATGCGCGCGCCCCAGGGGTTTCCTGTCCTGGTGAGAGGTTCTCGGGGTTCAAATCCCCTCCCTGCAGCTGAGAGGTTCTCCTTGCCGAATCCAGCCACAGCTCCTCCATCTGGGCTTGCTTGATTCTTGTTCCCTTCTCATTTCTTGTCTTGTTGCTTTCATATGTGCTAAGAGGGGTGGGCAGACAATTTTGAGTTGTATTTCCCACTATTTTTTCCACCAAAAACTGCTCCTGTTTTTACATATTGAATATCTTAATGATTTCCAAATAGTCTATTGAATAAATGTGCCAAAATCAATTGCTAGATATTTGGGTTCTTTTGAGATCTTGGCAGCTATAAGTAAAGCCTGATCTGCTCATGTTGCTTTTCTCTTCTGATGTTCAATGGTAGTTTTAGGGTGACCAGATACTTCGGCTCCTGATCAATACTGTAAGCCTTCGAGGGATGGTACCAATTCAAGCCCATTATCGGGTGTGTTGTCCTAACTTTTATTTTCTTTTTCTCTCTTTTTTTTAGCAGGTATAACACAATATTTCAGTATGGATAGATCAACGTGCATATTTAATTTCTGATGTCACTAAATGTTTTTCTATGAGGTTGTATTTCTCTGTATGAACTGTGTCCTCTGTCAGTTTTCTGTTGGAAATGTTATCAGTATTTTTATACATTGGTATCAGCTCTATTTACTTAATCTAGGTGATGGAAGTATTTCTTTCCTTTCTGTTATTTTCATCCTAAGTGTTTTTTCATTTTGGTTGTCCTATTTTTCATCTTTTCCTTAGTAGTTTTTGGCTTAGCTTAGTGAAAAATTTATCTTCGGTATTTAAGGAGCAATTGTTTACTCACTTAAAATTTTCACTGTTCTTTTTTAAAAGTTAGGTATGGTTTTAGTTCTATATGGTAGAACTGTTAGGGGAAAAGGCTGTCCTAAAGCTAATTCCATACAAGCTTTGTGGACTCCAGCCCCACCCCAGACCAAAGCCAAAGACACTGGGAACTCCAAATCTCATCACCACCAAAGGGAAGGTGGCTGGGACCTGAGGGTGGGGTGAAGCAGCCAGGTGGGTATAAAGCCAGACATGTGGGCTTTGGATGGGTCCCCCATTTTGACTCTCCGCCAGCTCGCAGCGTCCGGCCAGCTAGGAGAGTGCTTTTTGGGTTTCCAGGTCGGCGGATCGGGTAGGACGCATTAAAGACTTTATTTCCCTATTTTCTCCCTGAGTTGTACATTTTCCTTCTTTCCTTTTCCCTTGTAAATAAACCTTTTATGAACCTTTTGTGTGTGCCTGCAGTGGAGTATTCATAAGTCCCTCTTAAGTGCGTGGGTGAGGACCCACAGCCAGGCAACCCGTTCAATATCAGGGCTGCCCTATAACAGAACTAAGTTCATCTTTCTCTGAATTGCTAGTCAGTGCCACTCAATAGCACCTGCCCTTTTCCCCACGTTCTCTGGGCTCGCCCCTGGGGGAGCTCTTCCTGAAAATGGCAGGATTTGTTTTCAGTCTCCATGTCACTCATTCGACTGGAGATCTGGAGCCTTCCATGTGGACGAGGAATGCCTTTGTGACAATTAATACATGGAAACTCAATTTCAATGAGATCAGAGGGGAGAAGAGCTTCCTCGGGCCCAGTCAGCAAACAACAGGACTCAAGTGCATGTACCCCCAGGGAAGGAAGGAGGGGGCATCTTTACCCAGCAGCGTCGCCACACACGCAAAGGCTTTGCTCTGAGGAAGTGCATGTGTGGATGCCATGAAATGACACCCTCCAGATTGCCTTTTTGTTGCGGTTTCAAAATAAACCCATGTTGTTGGTAGTGAAATAACTCATTATTTTTTGTTTGCAGTCAACACCATGTTGGGGACCAAGAGTGGATGGAGAGGTGCCAGGCGAGAGAGAGAGGGAAGCCAGGGCAGACCTGGTTTCAATCTCCATCCAGCTCGTCTACCTCGCCCCCCACTTCCAGGGCTGCTCTGGTCATCCTTACATGCTGGTATTCTCTTTAAACTGCCATTTCATAAAATAATTTGCAGCTAAAACAAAATTCTAAAGCACTAATTCAGAATATTTTTTAACATCGCATGGATCTCTCCTGTTGATTTCCTTTTTCAAAATGGTGTCCTAAAAACATAAATACTCATAGATAAGCTGAATCTTTAGGGTTTGCAAAAAATCCTCTAGCCTTTGCAAAAATTTGAGAAATGTGACTGGCTCCCAAACCTGCCGGGAAGTGTTGGTTAGGGCCCGAGTGACCAATGATCTATAGGACTTCAGCTGAAGACTTGAGATCTGGCCTTTTCACATAGACAGGATTTGTCCAGGTCCATCTTGTTCAGCTTCAGGTCACTAACTGGAGGGAAGCAGGGGAGCAAGGACAGAGAGGGCGGCAGGCCCACAGTGGGTCAGATCCCTGGGACAGCTCAGAGGGGGCTCAGGACCTTGCTGCAGCACCCCCAAAGGCAGAATCGCCTCCTACCTTATTCTGGCAAGTTGGTTAATTTCCCCAAGTTATTTTTGCTTCCTCCATTCTTTGTTTCATTTGCTCATCTTGCTTTAAAAAAAAAAAAAAAAAAAAAAACCTCGGTGAAGGACATCTCTTTTTCTTTTGTTAAAGTGTTTAATGGAAAATTTTAATGCTTCCTTGTCAAGTGTAATTTAATTGGTTTGACATTGGCACATAACGCATTATTAAGGATACCTTTTATTCCTTTATTTAAAAATAAAAACTGACTTAAATTTGATCACATGTCTGTTAGGACATCTGTGCAAATGATTCCTTTGTCTCTTAAACTACTGCTAAAGTACAGTGTTTTCTTTATGCTGACTTCTCTTTGAAGTGATTTCTTAGATAAATCCTCTATTTTTCTTATCATTAAATTATATTGATGTTTGCTAGAATGGTATTAAAATATTATACATTTGTATTAATTAATGAATCTGGGTATAGTTTATTTATCTTAATTAGGTTTGGGATTTGGATCATTTTTCTTGAACATTGAATTAGATGATCTTTGTCACTCAGTAATTTATAGATTATGCTAATTCGTTCTTTGAAAGTTCGAAAGAGGGCACACATGGTAGTATTTATATTTCTAAAAAATATTTATGGCATTTAATTATAATTTGAAGATTCATTGTGCACTATTTGCACTACTGATTTGTAAATCCTTAATGCAGACAATCAAATCCACATTTCTAATTTAAAATGTTCTTAGTTAACTCTTTCCTAATTTATTTATTTTTATTTTCTACCATATCCCCCCTGCTCTCTGTTTCCAGCAGTTAATTGTTCATTTGTCAGAGAGATTTTATTTTAGCTATAATTTACAGATAGCCTTGCAAGTTTAAAGTACGCGATGTATTGATTTAAAACATTTGTATCTTGCAATAACAGAGGCTTCTTAGAGACTGTTTTTTTCATTGCTGTATCTGCAGGCCCTGGAAGAGAGCCCAGCTCATGGCGGCACACTTTCCATCTTTGTTCATGTATGTTGAATAAATTAATGTTTCAGCTACCTGTTGGATGCCGGAAATATCAAAGTGACCAGGACAGAATTCATGATGCCTTCAAGAGACTCACAGTCTGGATTCAGTTTGTGTGACTGACTCATTATTCTACTCCCCTTTGAAAACTATGATTTTTCCTCCACGTGGTGTTTTGGCTGATCACACAGAGTTCTGATATACAGTGGATTGATTATTCTGTGCCCCCACACCTACCCTACTGTGTCAGTTCCTTCCTTACTTCATCTATGATATAGGAAATGATTTAAAAATGTCCAGATGATTGGGTGGTTGTAGCTAGTTTTATTATTTATTTCTATTTGCATCATATTGTGTTCTGGAAGTTGAGAATGAGCCCTTTTGCTTTGGATATATTCATATCCAGATGCTCAGTAAGCTGTTGGGTTCTTATTTTTAGGATCACCAGTGCTAAGAATTTCTGCAAAAGACTCTTTTAGCTAAACATCTAGGTTGCACTCAGGTCCATAGTCTCCTCCGTGGAGATAAGATTTTTTTTTTTTTCTTGTCTCCTCAAGGAGTATGAATAATGTTAAATATTGAAAAAGTTTAAAGTAATGGTGCTGTTCCTTATTATTTACTTGCTAAATTCATCTTTCCTGGTGGTTTAGAAACATTCTCAGAAGAGATTTCGGTGTTGCTCTTTGGTTATTCTATTAATTGGATCTTTATGAGGTTTCTTGATAGCTGGATTCGGCTCTTTTATAAACATGGAAAAAAAAATTTCTTTTGTACACTTAGTCATCAGCCATGCATCATTTTTTCTCTGCTTCTTGGGGAGCTCCTACTACCAGCTATAAGCTGAATCTCTGCCTTTTTTCCAAAGACTATCAATTTTTTATCACACATTCTCTGCATATGCTTATTTTGTCCAGTTCTATATATACTTCCCTCACACTCTGCTCTACTTTGTGATTTGATTTTCAAATCTGATTTGAAAACAATGGGTTTGATTTTACACCCCTCCAATGAAACAATTATAATGATGTGTTTGCTTGGTGCTTGCTTATTGATGTCCTTACCCTGCTCTCACCTCATAGATAAAACACCCTCTCCCACACTGTGATATTTTATTCTTAAATTCCTCTTGCAATCCTTTCCATTTCTCCAGTCGGGGGTCGTCAAGTATTTCCACACTTTGATGACTTCTCTGGAGAAGTTTCTGTCTGGTTCTAAACCACCTGACCTGGGTTTATGATCTTTCCCGAGCCTGGGTGCTATCACTGTTCTTCGGGCCAGCTGCAGGGACTGACAGTGAATGACAGCTCGCCAGCAGGGCTCTCCTCCTGCTGCGCTATTGCCTCAGTTCTCAGAGTCCTTCCCATTCACACCTGGGGTCTTATTTATGTGCACTGGGCCAGGTGGTCTGAGTGGATGGACCTGGTCACCTTTAGAGACACCCTCAGCTCTTCCACCTCCTCTTCCTCCCCCCGACTTTCTCTTCCATCACACTCTGCAGTGTGGTGATCTTACCCCGCTGCATGCTGACGAGTCCCAAATAGATCCCCCACCCTCTGACTTCCAGCACTAACCCCACGGTCGGCTCTGTGCAAGCGATGCTTAATAGCACCTGCAGCCACCCGAGCTCAAAGATCTCCCCTTTACTTCTTTGATTTTCACCTTTTCAGGAACTGTCATCACCATCCACTTAGGTGCTGACACCAAAAACCCAGGGGTCACCCTCCATTCGTCCTCACCTTACCCCACATCCATCAGAGAGCAAGACTGCTTCCTGCCCCATTGCACAAATACCAGGTCACACCAGCTCTCAGGGTCTGCATGGCCCCAAGCTCTGGGCCACTGGACTAATATCTCTGGAGGTTTCCCTGTGTACCAGGCACTGTCAAAACCCCGGGACTCAGCAGAAGAAAAGCAGACACAGACCCCACCGCACCCTCCACTTCCCCTTGCAGTGTCATGTCACAGCTGCCGCAGCTCTGGACAGGTCACCTGCTTGGGGGTTTTTGCCTCCCGGGACCTTTTTCTACAAGCCCAACACAGATCATGTCACCATGCTTCAGAGTCCCTGCAGGGAGGGCTTCCGCACTGTGGTTCCTGCCTAGTGGTGCATTGAAGATACACCATGGATAGTCTGTTAGTAAAAGTATATCTCAATATACTTATGCTAAAAAATTATTTATGGTTTACCTAAAATTCAGACTGAACTGGGCATTTATGTTTTTACTTGCTTAATCTGACCATCCTATGCCAACCTCTCCCCAGCCTCTGCCCTAACATGTTCCTGCACATCGGTTGAATGAATGAATGAATCTAAGACTTGTTTCAATTAAAGCAGTTTGAAATCTATGCACTTTTCAGAACAGAATCTATAGGAATGGAGGAGGATGGGAAATGTAATTTTGTTCCCATCTAAGATTTTCTAAAATTCCATCCCAGTATCCAGCCAGGGTCTCACTTTCCCTATGAAGGTGGAGGCCAATCCCAGCATCCCTGGTTCTAAACAGAAGTTAAGGGTTCAGTAGATCAAACACCTGCAACATTTCCACTCTGGCACAATGCACTCAGAAGCAGGTATGTGGGGGAATCTCCTGCCCCCTAAGGCTAAGGTGGCCCAGATCTCAGTGAAGTCCAGGTTGCAAGGTTGGGAAAATCTGCCCACGGCAGAGCGACTGGGGGCAGCTGCCTAGAGGACAGAGTCAAGGTATGTTCCTCCTGGACAAAGAAGCCACAAAGAAGTGAGTCATAAAGGAGAAAGAAAATAGCAGATGGTTTCACTCATAGGTGGACAAAGAAACAAAGCAAAGGGACAGACGAAACTAAACCTGAACACACCCTGAATTCTGACTTCAGAACTGAGGCTCCCAGAGGGCGCGGGGAGGGTGTGAGCATAGGGAGAGTGGCCCAGTGGACACTGAGGATTATGGAGCTTTGGTGGGGGCATGGTGTGGTCACATACAACTGAAGAGGGGTGAAACTGTACCCCTAAATCATATACAGTGCTGTACACCAACGTTATCTCAATATAAATCATGCAATTTAAAAAAAAAGTCACAAAGAACAGGCTTTTCATTAGAAATGAAAACTTGGGACTGATCATATGAAATTGTGTTTCTTAAAAATGAAGTGTCACAGATGTGTTTTCCCTAGTGACATATGATTTATAACAACATCATCAAACGGGGGAAAAATCCCTCCATGGAAACATATTAAAAATGATGGCTCTGGGTCTGGCTGGAATTGCATTAGTTGAGAGGAAACCTTGACATTGACATTAAACCTGATTGGTCCATTTGAAGAGGGTTCAATTTGTCCAAGAAATTATTTGCTACCTTGCCAATTGCACTGATGGGACTCTTAAAAGCCCACAGGAGGAAAGTTCAATTTGATTACCGACAAGGAAAGTCATTTTTACATATTAACTGCACTAAGATGGCACCAGCAAACTTGACAAGGGAATTCTGGAAATGCCGTATGTGTGATAAAATATACAGCAGGAGAGGCCGATGGCAGCGAGATTTGCCACCGTCAAATGGTATGTTTTTCAAGTGCCGACCTTTCACTCATGATGGGGTTTCTCAGGCTCTTTCAGATGTTTTTGAATATTATTTTCTATTTTTTCAAGCTTTTGCAAAAGCATTTAAAATATTCTTCAGCTGGCACATCAGCCATCTGAAGTTTGCTTTTCTAATCTTTTTTTCCCCCTTGTGCCAGTTTTATTTAAAACTTTCTGTAGTGGCAAGGGTTCCAATAGAGCTGGACAGGAATCTTTGACTAATGAGCACTCTTAATTATTAAAATGTAACGAAACTCGACATCCGTTTTCATGTTAATGAAATCATTATTTCTTTAAACGATTGTGATCATTTGTAATTATCTTTTTTTCCTGATGAACTTCAAATGTAGTCTACAGTTCATAAAACATTCCAAATCATTTCTGTGTAGACGGATGTTAATGAAATGAAAACAAAAAGATCTAAAGATTTGAAAAGAAATCAGAATTTTGGTCAAATGATGGAAACTGGCAATTTTAGTGAATTGCCTCCACCACCTCCGGCGCCCTTGGCCATGACCACCCATGCAGAAGGCAGGCCGACTCTAGGGTATTTCCTCTTGGTGCCCTTGTGTTAGGGTCGACTGTTGGGGCGGCTGCAAAAAGGAAGAATGGCAGCAGAAGTCTTGGACACCGGGCATGAGCAATCCCGGGAGGGCTGGCAGGGGCCTCCCTCCCATCCCTGCTCATAGCCCCTGGCCTCAATGACCTTTAGTTAAAAAAAAAAAAAAAAAAAAAAAAGAAAGATACAGCTCAACTACCATGGAAGCAAACACGAAGATTCCGACGTCCTGCCAACTGAGTACCATGCAGAGGATGGCCAGCCCGGGGGCGCATAGGGGTCCCCCTAATATGCTGATTCTCTGACCCAGCCCTGTCCCGCTCCGTCCACGCCCCTCCCCGCCCCGCCCCAGGGAGTGGTACCCATAGAGATCTTTGCACAGAAGCGCGGTGAGCTTCCTCAGATGCGGGAGACTGCTGGAGCCTGTCTTCACAAAGTCAGAATCCAGAGCAAGCTGCGTGCTCAGGTAATCTTGGATGGCTTTAAGATGTTCTTCCGCAAGCCTGAAAAACAAAAAAGAAATGAAAACATGCTTAGCCTTTTCATTAAGCCATGGACACTAACAGTAGAGGAGAAATCTGAGTTGTCCGGCTCCAGCTGAGACCCCGTGCTCTGGGACAGCACCCGCTGCGTTTCCCTGCATTGCTGGAAGGGCAGAGGAGCGCCTGACCTTGACTGTGCAGACTCTCCCCCTCGCTGGTAACTGTCACCATGTCATGAACGTGCTGGAGCCTCTCCCTGGTCTAGCAGGCGCGAGTGCAAAGCCATCTGCGCGGCTGACGTCAGAGCCGGCTCGGCCCAGCAGGAGTCTGCCGCCTGTGGGTGGGAAGCCAGCCTTTCAAGGCCCTCTAAGGCCCCAGGAGATAAAGTGGGTTAAACCGCTACCAGCCTTGGCATGGCCATGGAACATTCTTTAGTAATCGGGGAAGTGATTAAACCCTGGCACCTGCTCTCCTGTGCATAGACCGCGTGGGCATTTCTTTAGGGCCAGATAACCGAGGAAACCCCGAGGTCCCACCTAAGTCTGGGCCAGGCCTGGGGAGTGAGGGTGAAGGCAGGACTGTCCCTGCCATGGCCCAGGCTTCGCCCCAGCGTGGTGAGGTGGTGTGGTCCTTGCTCTACATTCTGTCTCTTTTTGTTCTGGATAACTTTTTGTTTGGAGGGGGGAGGCCATGGGCAATATTATGACTTCATCCCTGAAACTCATTTTCCTCTTCTATAAAATGGGGCTAATAATAGCACCTGTTTCATAATCCTGGCGATGAACCACATTCATGCAAGAGAAGCACTTTCATAAGTGCTGGGCACACGCTAAGCACTCAGAGCGCTGGCTGTTAGCACTTAGGTCCAATGTCCACACACAGGGACGGGAGACTTAGCACAGAAACAGCGGCTGCGAGCCACCCACCAGCTTCCTTTCCCCAAAACAAGCGTGGCCCTGTCCTCCCCAGTTTGTCCGAGCACATCAGCATATTCTCCTCTCAGGAGTTTGATTTGACACAACCGTCAGATGCTTTCATTCACAAACCCAGAATGACAGCAATCCCTGTCGTTTGGGGCCACAAATCGGTGGGCACGAAAGCTTCAAGCCTTTGTCCTGGGGTGGTGGAGGCTGCCCGGTGTCCTCCCAGCTCAGGGCACCCCAATGCCCAGCTGCAGGCTCAGCTGCAGGCGTGAGCACGGCCCTGCTGGGGCAGGTGGGGCCTTCCCATCACGTTGGTGGGGCCAGCGGCTGAGGGAAAGGACAAATCTTTGAATTTCAGATTATTTTCCTCGTTTTCAAGCCCAGCAGCATCCCACTGGCCAAACGGGGCTCCTGGCCGCTCCCTGGTTGCAGACGCTTCCGCTTTGCTTGGCTCAGGTCCGCCCAGCAAGGCCCATGGCCTCGCCTGGCCTGTGCGCTGGTCCAGGCCGCCCGTCTTTTCCAGCACCACCTCCCAGTCTGGCTCAGGCGCCTCCTCTGAGGCGCCGGCTTGCTTCCGCATCTTCTCCTTCAGGCTGGCCCCTCCACACCAGCAGCTCAGCTTTCCCTTGCGCGTCATTTTCCCCTTCCCCGTCCTGGGGACGGCTCCCACTGGGAAGCATTCTGGAGCCCGGCTGCGACTGACTTCTCCTGACCACTCCCGCAGAGGATCCTCCCTGCTGGTGGGCTGTCTTCTCCTTCTTCCTCGTGGCACTGTCTTCCCTGGTCTCCCCCACTTCTTGTTTCTGCGGGGAGGGAGGCACGGCCAGCCCCTGTGTCCTTCCCCACAAGCAAGCCCGCAGAACATCCCGGCCTCGGCCTCGCGGAACCGGAGTCCTTGACTCATCAGCTCACGGCCTCTGGCCCTTTCCTTCTTGCGGCGTTGAGTTTCCTGCTAACTCTGGTCACCTCCTCGCCCCGTCTGAGGTCTGGGGAGGTCTTTGTCCTCCAGTCAGGGGGACTTGGCCAGAGAACCAAGGACTTCCTCTTCTTTCTCTTCTCCTCACTGAGGAACTGGCGGGGGCCAAGAGCTGCTTCCTGGGCTGGGTGACTGTCGCAGACACTTAACATGGTCTCCGGCTCAGGAGCTCTTTGAAGAGGGTGCAGGGACACTTCTATTTCTCCTTTTTCTTCGCGGAGACCTCTCAGGTGCTGCCCTTGGACACACTCTCAGAGGGGCGGTGACTCTTGCAGAAAGGGCTCAGTGAATGATTGGTTGCTGTTTAAAATTCAGTATCGAGCCTCTGGTCCTTCGTGGGGGTCTCGGTGACCATCCCATAGCCCAGACGTTTCCACCTCCACGTGACAGCCCTCTCGGCCGTGACCCGGAAGTCAATGCCCTGCCTAAGTTTTGAATCTTTGTTCTCCTACTAATGAAAATCATACAGTAACCTACCAGTCACTCTGCTCAGCACTTTATGCCCATTTTTCCCTCTCGTTCACACGTCAGCGTTATGAGGTAGATGCTATTCCTACTTCATTTTAGACTAGCGTTCTTACTCTTCAACCCAGCAATGTTTCATTTGTTATTCCTATGTGACAAACGAGGAGACTGAGGCTCAAGGATGCTGATTTACTTGCATGAAAAATGACTACAAGCTTCAAATAGCTTTGTTCAGCCCCTGGGCATGGACCCAAGTGGACACTGGAGGTCCCAGGGTGCCTCTGTAGGATCCTGGGGAGAAGGGAAAGCTGTTGCTCTTAGGATTAGAAAGGCGGGGGCCTCCAGGGTGGTGCAAGGGTTAAGATGCAACCTATGAAGCAATCTGCAGCCACAGCAGCATGAGCTCGATCCCTGGCCAGGGAGCAACCCACATGGCGCAGCAGACCTCTCCTGACTCACCCGCTGCTCCCCTCAGCAGTGGATTTCAGTTAATCTGCCTGTTCTGTTCCCCACTGTCTCTGGTGAATCCTCTCACTCCCCACGCCTCTGGCCTGTACCCCAGCTCTTGTATGCATAAATAAATAAATCTTTTAATAAAAAAAAAGGATTAGAAAGGAAAGGGTTCACATCTTGATTTTTTCCCCTGGGCAGCTCAGTCAGAGGCCATCTACACATGAGTTGTCAGAACATTTATGTTTAATCTGTACTGACTCTGAGTCCTGACATCATGAATATCCAGTTTCTGCTAAAGTCTGTTTTTCAAAAAAGGACAAAACCTCTGCGATAGTATTATGCTACGTGTGATAACCCTTCCAAGGGCTCTTGACTTGTAACATGAAGGAAGCCATAATTATTAAAATGTTTGCTGAGAAAGCTGATTTTGCTCAGCTGTCTTGTAATAACCTGAGAACTACAACCTGATTAGATCATATTGCCCCAAAGACAGCAGGTTACCTCTGAATGAAAAGTCACCTAAAGGTGCCCTCTATGTGAAAAGTTATTTTGTAAATGGAACAGATGAACTTTAAAACACAAGGCAGAATCTTGGTTTTTCAAGACCCAGAATGGGAGGCAGGGTGGGCCCTGTGCCCTCTCTTTTGTGGGTCCCTCCACCATTTCCATTTACTTTTGTTCCCATCTCCAAGCAGAAGTTTCAGGAAGGTTCCATGGCCAGAGACAGCTAGTCGAGGAGCAAAACCAGCACACCCCTGCCCACGGCCTTCCCCGCTGCTCCACCCCTCCCCGGAGGCTGTGGGGGCTCAGCTGCGTCCCTTGTCGTGCTGCATGGTTTGGACCCTGGGGAACACTTGAACCCAGAGAGGAGGGACTGATGCACACCGAGGGGAGCAGGAGTCAGAAGCCTGGGGGGTGGGAGGGGCCACCATATGGTGGCACAGCTGGGCAGCCTTCCTGCCTCCACAAGCAAGTCTCTGCACTCAGCAGCCCATCCTAGAGACAAAGAGAAACTAAACAGCAGGCTCCCCAAGGACCATTTCAATAAACATTTGTTATTTAGACACATACATTGGGAAAAACCATGATAATGTATCAACATATTCCAAATCTTGCAGAGTTAGCTTTGGACAAATAGCAGAAGTCACTCAGAGGAGCAGAAATAGAGCCAGAGGGTGCAGAGAAGAGCCCGCTAAGTCGAGCTGGAACAGGAGCACCTCAGGGACCTTAGCAGCAGGTCCTGATGCGCGCCCCTGGGAATTCTCTTGGTATTTTGCCAAGTCAGGAGGCAGGAGAGCAGCCCTGGCCATCTCCAAATGACTTCTGAAGTTGGAGATGCCGCATGCACCCCGCCATCAGGATTGTCTTTGTGGTCTTTTTTTGATTAAGAGTGTTTTTAGATTATTAGCCCGTGAAGTTGCTGTGGACGGATACGCCCGGTCGGCCAGCATACTCGTGAATGCCCACTTAGTGCCAGGCGTGGGGGCAAGGTGCAAGACAGAGCCCGCAGGGCTTCCTCCGGTGAGTGCGTCCCCCACGCCTGTCTTGAAGTCGGTGCCTCTGATTTGCAAAAACAACCAGCGCTCCTCTCCCCCAGCCCTCCCAGCAGGCCCCCCTCTTCCAGCATCGGGGGAAACGCTGGGCTTGCTGGAGAGAAATGGGACCATCTGGGGCCTCCCTGGTGGCAGTGGTTGAGCGCTGGGTTGCGAAGCTGCCCGCGGCCTCTGCGGCGGCGGTTCGATCCCCGGCTGCTCCCCGGCCCCCGGAGGAGGATCCCACATGGCGCGCAGACCCCTCCTGCCGCCCGCTGCTCCCCTCAGCAGTGTACTTCGGTCCTTCTGCCTGCTCTGCTCCCCGCTCTGGCTCTGGTGAATTCTCTCACCCTCCCGCGCTTCTGACTGTACCCAGTGCTTGTATAAATAAACAAACAAACAAATAAATAAATAAATAAATGAACGAATAAATAAATAAATCTTAAAAAAAAAAAAAGAAATGGGACCATCTGACAAGAAACTGCAGCCCTCGCCAGCAGGACCAGCAGGGGACTCAGAGGGACCCAGGTCCTGAGCACACAGGGCAGAGTGAGCAAAGACGAAAGTGCCAGACAGTCTGCCCGCACACCCTTTCCATATACACCATGGAAATACCGCTCTAACCCGTCTAGGGGTAGCAAGGAAAGCAAGGGCTGGGTGGGGGTCCCGGCTGCAGTGCCTGGTGGGGGTCCTGGCTGCAGGGCCAGCCACTCCTCCTCCTGGGCCTCAACTCAGTAGCCTCCACGGCAGCAGAGGCACTTGTGACAGGGGAAGTCAGCTCGTGCGTTTATGGCAAACCCAGTAAGCGAAGAGCACAGACTCCCAAAGTCGGGGGCAGGCCCACGCCACATGCCGGACGGCTGGATGGTGTTCCGGAGCCTGCCCTTCCCCGCGGCAGGGCCAGGGAGAGCCTCCAGTCAGGCCACCGGCAGGCCACGTGAGCGGGCTCCCTCACACCCACACCCGGGGCCGGAGGCTCCAAGGCAGACTGTCCTGGGGTGGAAGGGCTGACACACAGTGAGCACCCAGGGGCCTCCAGGCGGGACTCACCCGCTGGTGTCCATGCTCTGCAGTCGCTGAAACAGGGTCTCGGAGAGGCTGGGCCGGCTAACCTCAGTGGCTCTCGGGTTCTCCGTGGAAACAGGGCTCTCCTTGGCCTCACTGGGCCCCGTGGATAAAGGGATGTTTCTGGGCGGCAGCTCGGGTGGAGACAGGACAGCTTCTGCCCAAGAGAAGAGCGGGGGTGCTGCAGGGAGGGCTGGTGCAGGCCCGCCACACCCCTACGCAAGGTCCCGTCTGCTGCACGGCCCCTGGCCCTCCTGACCACCGCCGCCCCGCCCCCCACCCACAGCCTCGCCAGGAAGCCTGCTGAGGGCAGGGACCTGGTCTTACAGGCCTTTGACCCGGGACCCGATACAGTGTTTGTCCACCGAGGCGCCCAGCAAACACCTGTTCTGGTCAGAGGGCCTTGGACAGACCCATGGCCCCAGGCGGCAGGGCGAGGACGGCTTTTGGACTAGGAGAGAGGCCCAGACTGGGCAGAGCCCAGACCCCAGAATAGGCCTGGCCACACTGCTCCCCTCTCTCCCACCTGGGGCCCCTGTCCTCTGTAGCTTCTCTCCAGCCTCTGTCCTTCCTTCTCTCTCCCGCCTGACCCTCAGAGACAAACAGAAGAAAGTGAGAGCTCCCTTCACTCAGTGAACTGGAACATGAAGCAAGTGGCTGGAACTTGGCCTGGGAGGTGGGATTTCTGCCCTCACGGAGCTCTCCATGCTGCACGTGCCACATGTGGGTGAGGCCCTGAGTCCCCGGCCAGGCCCTCCGTCTGCCCCAGACTCTTTCCACACAGTTGGCGGCCTGGCCCCAGCCACAGAGCAGCCCCAGGAGACTAAGGACAAGGCCTGCACATCCTGGACGGCCTGGTTCCTTCCACGGCAACGAGTCTGTGAGCCCTTTGGGGACAGGCAGCACCCTGGGGACCTGAGGCAAGTCAGACACCTTCCACGGGGGTGGTGGTGGGTGAGCGTCATGTGCTCAACTTCAAGCCACAGTTGGGTCTCTTTTGGGGAAGCGAAACCCATAGTTTCTCTTTCTAGCCCTTATGGAACGTGTCAGGGTCTTGCCCCAGACAATGGTCCCCAGAGGTGTAGAAAGGCGGGGCGGGGTGGGTGGAGCAAGGAAAACAAGGGTGCTAGTTGGGGGGGCATCTTTGCAGAACACTGCTAGGTCAGGGCCAAGGCCTGGGGGCAGGAGGCAGCAGGGGGACAGCAGGGGGTAGGGACAGCAGGGGGACCCCAGGGGGTAGGGACAGCTGGGGGACAGCACAGGTGGCTGGTGCGTGGCTCTGGACTCATGTGTGGACCTGTCTGCTCTGGCCATTTCACAGCTTGGCCAGGGGTGGTGACAAGAGACATGCCCTGCGGGTCCCTCTCTGCCTCCAGGGAGCTGCCTTCCTTTTGAAACACTCAGCCACCCTCACCTGTCCCCTGAGCTGCCATGGCCCTTCCTCAGATCTCACCCTCTGATGAGGCAGCCGTCAAGATGGGTCTCCAGGAAGGTGGGCAGGTGGCCGCCAGCCAGCGATGGGGGAGAGATAAAGAGGGGCCCCGGGATAGGCCAGGAGCCAGGCCCGAGCTCTCTGGGAGCCTCTGCCTCTCTTGGGGGCGACCCTGGCTGCGTCCAGAAATCCCTGCCTTGGGATTTCTGGCTTCACTCGGGATCTCAGGTTTACTTTCAGGAAGTGAACTTTCGAGGGGAAAGAAGGGCCCCAGCGAGCGCCCCCACTGCACTGCCCCTCACACTCTCTCCTCGCTCGGCCTGTGACCCTCCTGGTTACAGGGCTGGCCTGGCTCCAGCATATTGGGGGTGCAGTTTTCTTTTTATAAGGAATTAAAGCACAGCCCATCCTTCCGGTCAGGTGTAAGGATTTCCTCCTTCCTTTCCTTGAAGTGAAATCCAAATTCTTTGATGATGGTCGTTGCACTCGTGCAACCCTCACTATGGGTCAGGCCCAGGGCCCCACATTCATTGACTCACCCATTGACACCCTGGCAGGGAGCTATTACTGTTACCGTCTCTTTAAGAGATGGCTGTGGCTCAGAGAGGCCAAGAAACCTCCCCAAGTCACACAGCTCAGCAGCGGGGGTGGGGGGGGTGGGGAGGTGGGGGGGTGGGGGGTGGGGGGTGGGGGGTGGGGGGGGGAGCAGGAAGTCAGACCCTGTGTTCCTAACTTGTCCTCTGACAGCGGGACCCAGCTCATCTGTGAGCACTTGTGTGGGGAGAAACACCCCAGGATTCCCTGCGCCCGAGCTTGGAGGGCAGGTCCCGAGGGCTTCCTCCTACCTGTCTCCTCCTCCGGCTCGTCCCCAGCATCGTCCTCCTCCAGCGGCACCGGGTACTGCAGGTGGGTGACCAGGCCCATGTTCTCCTTCCTGTAGAACTCGATGAGCTGGTCCAGCTTGGTGAAATACTTCATGGGGACACCTTCGGATGCCTGAGGACAGAATCCCAACAGAGGTGCGCTGGAACTGGGTGGGACGCGGCCACCACAAAGGCCACCTGCAGTGGCGACTTGCGTGGCCAGACAGTGACCACAGTCCAGAAAAAGCCCTGGCCTCCCACGCAGTGTCTGCCCGCCACGCCCACGCTGCACACCCGGCAGCCCGCAGCCCCGAGGCGTCTGCGAAAGGCACCAACGGGCCGTCTGAAAGATCCTTTTCCTCCCAGTGAAAAACTTTTTAAAAAAAATTAAGCATTGCATTCTGTAAGATTTACGTTTTCATCATGGCAAAAACAGAAAATGCAGAAATTTTGAAAAAGAAATTACTTATTGTCCACAACACTGAAAGAACTACTTTCAGTCACTTGGAAGATGCTTTTCTAGACTTTTCTGTGTGTGTGTTTTTGTTACTGTAATCACTTACCAGCCCTCCCCCCATACAAAGATCATTTATTTTTAAACATAGGAAAATCTATTCTAACCCTTGTTTTGCTTTTATTTAAAATTTTTCCATTTGCTATAATTTTGTCTTTAACCAAAACTCAGATATGATCGAGGCAGCACAGAAACTTCCCCGATCAGTATCTCTGTTGTGAATGACAGAAGAGCCTACAGGTAACTTTGCTGGGCAGTTCATAGGCCCTGGGGCCAGGGCTCCAACCTCCTGTCCTGAGGTTGTAGCAGGAAATCCCAGGTGGCCCTGGACAGCCGTGCTCCCCGCGAGGCCCCGCCCCGCCCACCGCCCTGTCGGTTCCTGTCCACGCCGGTACCCGCCCGAGGCAGGGCAGGACGGGAGGGCTGCAAGCAGGAGACTCGAGTCCTCATCAAAGCGACACCCGACAACTCATAATCAGACTTGTCCCAAGTTCCTGCCCATCCTCCCCTCTCCCCTCTGCCTTGCCTCTCCTGGCATCCTCATTCCCCCCCTGGTCTAGCCAGAAACCCAGAGGCATCCTGGACGCCCCCCTCCTGGCTCAGGGCCAAGGTGGACAGGGTGAGGCAGGTGCCCAATCCAGCCAGGGCGATGCTGTTGTGAGGGGCGCACCCTGAGGGGAGGGGGAAGAGCTAGCCGGGCCCTGGGGGAGCCGAGGGCCTTGCCACTGCCCAAGGACAAGGGGCCAGGCTGCTGGTGGCACTAAGAGGCCACTCCTCCTGGCCTCAAAGACGCCTCGCGCCCCTAGTCCTAACACTAAGTGCCTGTGATTCACCCCGTTATCATCACAGCCATCGTGTCAATGCCAGTCATGTCATTTTGAAATGAGTTGAGAAAGCCATCTGGGGGTGGAGGTCAGGAGTCCGGCTGCTCTCCCAAGGCCGCCAGCTGCGCTCTTGCTGGAGGGAATGGGACCACCGCACACGGGAGAGGCCAGGAGACACGTGGGTGAGGTCAGAAGGCCCACCCAGTTGGTTAGCAAGTGGGGTCTCCACCCGCCTTCAAGTCAGGGGCCTTTTGCTCCAGGTGGCTGGGGACTAAGGTGGAAGGTCTTCAGGGCTGCAGGTAAGTGGGGTCAGGAGAGCAGAGAAGGCAGGTGACCGAGACTGGGCAGACATCCAGTGTGGACCGAGACTCAGACCTGATTAACCCTGAGTGGCGGGAGGACCATGGGCTCCCACCAGCCTCCGCCTCTGTCCTTCACCTGGACGCAGCTCTGGTGTGGCCTCTCTCCGTCCCTCCTGGCCTCTGTCTCTCTGGGGGTGTATTTGTGGGTGCATATGCTCGGCACGTACATATAAATCTGCACACGGGTGTGCGTGTATTTGAGTGTGTGGTCTCAGCTATTTAGTAAACGTACAGAGAGTTTAACAGAAGGGTTTGTGACCCTTGCTGTCACAAAGCCCCCCTCAAGCATTACCCAACCAGAGATCCCCGAGTAGCACAGCCAGGCCTTCTAAAAGTCCCTGAATAGGTTCAAAACCAAAGTGCACAGAATAACAAAAATAATTTGACACGCTGCCAGATGGGTGAACTCGATTCAGCTCGAGCAGTCGTGACGAGTGTCATCCTGTCAAAGAATTTGCAGCTAATGGGTGACAAGCCATCAGGTGGAAGGGAAGAGGAGAGGGAAATATGAGAGACAGTCAAGTGAAATGACTTGCACGCGCACCGGGAAGGGGCTGTCAGCTGGCGGGGGCCTGGGGAGCGTGTGTGCACCGGGGCGTGAGACAGGGGCTGTAATGCACAAGGATGCTAGGACACATGCGACTTTATGTCCTGCTAAAGCTGAAGCAAAGCTCCCCACATCACTGCCTGTGGACACATTGGATTCCAGAGATGTTCGCTGTGCAAGAACATCCCCGAGGGAGGCCGGAGGAGGCGGGAGGTCAGCAGGAGGACCCGAACCTGGCGGTGGGTGCTGAGCGCTGTCGCAGGCCGACCTCGTGGGTGGAGCCGGGGCCTGGCAAACCAAGGCTGAGGCTGCCCAGGAGCTCAGGGTCCCAGGAGGGGACGGATGAGGGTTGAGTCTAAACCTTAAGGACAGTGGAGCTGCTGGTCTGGAGGGACCGTAGGTGGGCAAGCCAGCGAGTGCCCACAAAGGAACTGCTGGGTGGGCAGGATAGGATGCCTACCTGCACCCCCATGAGAGGGAGGCACCCCGGGAAAGCAAGGGGCTCTTCAGGGAGCAGGTCTCTAGGTGCAGAACCCCCTAAGCAAAGACTCGCTGGGCACAGGTGGGTCAGCGGGAGCAGCCTGTGCTAATGGGCAGCATGTGGACTCACAGACACACGGACTCACAGACTCACAGACACACAGACACACAGATGCACAGATAGAGGGAATGGTGACAGCGGAGGGGCAGCGAGGCCAGTGAAGTTCTCCTTAGGGAGCTGTTCGCACAGAGGGGTCCTCCCCGGTCTTTGCTCTCGGCACTAAGACTTAAAGCAGTTCACAGACACTCTTTCTAGAACAGGACCAGGAGGAAGAAAAGGTCAGGGTGCCCAGGATGTAGACAGGCCTGAGTGAGCCCAGGCTGGGGTGAGGCACCGTGGTGGGAGGTGCCACACGCCCAGCCTGAGAGAAGCAGCCTCCCCACGTGCTCCCATCACCCTGCTCCCCACTACCCTGCCCTGGTGCCCAACCCCATGAAGTCAGGACACCCCCAGCCCCGCCTGCTCTCAGAGAGTGTGATCAGGGCAGTAGCCCCCCACACCCCCTGTGTGCTCCCCAATAGCTGTTCCTCACTCGAAATCAAAATCTGTGTGGGATGAATTGGTAGAAGCCAGACAAAGACCCTCCAGCAGCTCAGGACACTGAACATGGACCAGTGGGATCGTGGGGGTCCCTTCGGGACAGGGGCTCTGCTCCCAGGGGCAGCGGCTGGTCTGACAACTGTACCCCCACCGAGGGTGCGAGGGGCTTGACAATTGGAGGAGCTTGGCAATTGGTGGCTGGGGGACGTGCCGCGGGGGGGCACTGGAGCTGGGAGAGACGGCGAGGGAGGACCTGGCCCGAGCCTGGGCTGGGGATGCAGAGAAGCTTCCACGAGGAGCTCCCTCTCCCGCCGCTTTAACTGCAGCACCCAGAGGTGGTGCCTGTCACATACATGTGACAGATCCTCTGCGGTGACAGGAAGCTGAAGTCACGTTCAGCTGGGTGGGGGGTGGCGGACACAGTGCAGGGCTGTCCGTGGAGGGGTGCAGCACTCGAGAGCTAACAGCGGGGAGCAGTTAGCTCAGTTACCACCTCCGGATGGCCACGTGTGAGGGGAGCCCGCAGGAGCAGGAACCCAAAGGTGGTGACCTCAAGGGGAGGGAGTGGGCCAGGGTCTCCCCTCCTTGGCTGCTGGCTGAGTGTCCCAGGGGCTGACCTGGCCAGAAGCCAGGGGCTGGGAGGGAACAGAAGATGTCAGCACATCAGGTCCAAGGTGACCAGATGCCGTGGAACCGTGGGCAGGGAGGCCCCATGCTCTGCTGGCGAGGCCGGTGGCCTCGGGCCAGGCGGGGAACTGGCCACACTTCCGCCAAGGGAGGGGGCTGCCCTCCATCCCCAACGGTCGGCTAGGCGAGGCCTCCAGACTTTGTTCCTCATCGGGCAGCCACTGCCTCTCTGATGAGATTTATCAAGTCATTTTGAAACAGAGAAGAAGGAAAAGCTGCAAACGTGAGCTGCACGATGACCCCGCTCCCAGGGCCAGGCTGGGTTTCTGGATTCCTGCTCTGCAGCCTCTCCCTGACCCGCACCCACCTGACCCCTCCTCTCCTTCGTGGACACCCACAGCACCTGGCAGGCAGGTTGATGCTGACAAAGCCCAGAGCAGCTCGCCCTGCTCAAAGTTTGCCTCTGATGCAGGACACGTGGGGGCAGAGCAGGCGTCCCTTCGAGGGGCCCGGGACTGACAGCGTGGAGCGGAACGCGTGTCCACAGCCAAAATCCCCTCAGAAAACACGTGGGAGGTTTGCTTAGCTCGTGAAACAAAGCACACAACTCTCCTGCCTCCCGTCAAAATCTCCAGGTCTGTGGAAAGTTCAGGCGCTTTCTGGCAAGATCATCACACCAAGGCCCTGCTGACAGCTCCCTGCCAGGCGCGCTGTGCCTGCCGCCCCACAGACTTGTGATTCCTGGAAGCCAAGGGGTGCGCAGGGCTTGGCCTGCTATGGCCCTGCTTGCCGGCTGGAGACGCACCTCAAGGGTGGAAGTGGGAGGGGGATAATGGAGCGAGGCCTGGCAGGGAGAGGCCCTGTTCCCCTCCAGCTTGCCATCTCCAGCACCCCGCACCAGGTTCCTGGGGAGGGTTCCGGGAGGACGAGGGCAGAGGGTGCTGCCTGCCCCAGCCTTCAGGAAGCAACTGCCAGAAGAGTCCTTAAAACAAAGGACACTGTGTCCGGGCCCTGGAGGCCCAAGGCTGTGAGCTCAGCGTGTGTGCTTCTGTCACAATCCCGGGGGGAGGGGGCGCGGGACAGGAAGGCCGGAGCACGGGCTGAACTTTCCCAGGGGGTAACTCTGACTTCAGCCCTGTCTGCCATCTCTAAATGGGGAACCGAAAGAGGGCTCTGCACCCAGGAGGAAGCTGGCACGGGGAGCCAGGAGACGGGCTGCAGGGCACCCCCGAGGTTCTGCCAGCCTGCATTTTAAATGCAAAAGCAAAAGCAATGTATGGGCGTCTGAGTCCCTTCGAGTCAGCTCTCTGAGGACGAGAGGCGCCTCAGCTCCCACCCATGTTGCTCAAGGTCAGCTACAAATTGTTGGATGGTGAGGAGGGAGCAGACGCCGGTTAGACCACCGGGACGCAGGAACGCGGGGAGCAAATGTGAAAGCATGTGCGGTCCTTGCGGCCCCTTAGGAGGGGTGGAAAGTATTAAGAAGCAGGGGGGAGGGAGGGACCCTCCTCCGGACCCCATCGCAGCAGAGCATCTCTTTCAAGTTAGTCCCTGGACGGGCCTGAAGCAGGTGGCCACTTGGCTGTGAAGAGAAGGACGGCGAGAGGCAGTGCGAGCACCAGACTCCCAGGCCTGTGCCCCCTCACCCTCGTCTATACAGCAGCTCCGACGGGGCAGAATGAGCGGTGGAAGCTGCTCCGGGCCCAGTCTGTGTTCTGGAACCTCGCCGCCTGCTCCCACCTTGTCCGAAGCTACTGAGACCCGACAGTGTCCTCTCCACTGAGGCAGCAGCTGGCAGGAGGACGCCCGGGTGGCCTACCCTCCCCGGGCCGTGCCGGGACTCACCTCCCGCGACCCACCTCCTCCTGCCCTGCCTCTGCCCTCCCCATCTCTGGCAGCTCCTGAAGTGCAGCCTCGGTTTACCTTCTGCCCTCAGGGCTGTTCTCAGTCCTTAACCACTTCCTGCCCCAAGCCCCTTCCTAGGAATCACAGGCCCCGAGGGGGTGACGCAGACTGCTCAGCCTGGCCAGGAAGGAGCAACAGCCTGTTGGCCACACAGGTGAGGAATCCAGGTGTGCTGGGTGGTGCGGGGTGGGCAGGACTGGGCTCCCCTGGACCAGCAGGGCAGGTTTTGCTTCAGAGATAAATTTTAAATAACTGGGCTTAATGGTTTGCTACAGAGACAGGAGCCTGGGGGAGGCAGGGCTGGGGAGAGGGGCTGAGACGGAAGAGGCTTCTGTTCTCCCCAGGACCTGTGACTTCGCTTCTGGGAAGCCTGAGAGCCGGGTGGACTGGACGCGTGGGCTCTGGGGGGAGCTGAAGCTGGCAGAATGGCAGACCGGGCTCTGGGGCCTGGGCAGAGCACCAGGTAGGGACGGGGACCCTGTGTTCTCCAGGTGCCCGGGGGCTTGAGAAGCTTCATCAAGTGTCTTTGGCTGCCACAGCCCCACACAAGCAGAAGCTGAGAGAGGAGAAAGCGGAGCACATGGAGGATGTCGCAGAACCATTGGCGGGACTTTTGAGGGGCTGCTTTCTGGCTGTCAGGCTGAGGGGCAAGAGCTGCCGGGTCTCATAATGGCCTGGTATTGGGGTTTGTGGGGCTGGAAGGCTGTGAGCTGCCAATGCACTTGGAGGGGAGCGGGGCGGGGTGGGCTCAAGGCAGCTGGGTTCTCCAGGCCCAGGGGAGCAGGGTCTCCTGCACCTGCCCTCGGGTCTTTCTATGACAATGAACGTTCCCAGGATGGGCCCCTTGGGACAGGCCCACAGTGTCAAGTTCCCGACAGAAGGGTTCCCAGAGGGGCCTCCTAGAGCCTTTCTGGATCTTCCCAGGTGAGGGCCCCACTCCCCAAACGGGAGGATGTGGAGCAGGCCGGGTGCGGGGCACGTTACCTGATCACAGCGCACCCAGCGTCCCCGGGGGGAACCTTGGCTCCGTCCTATGGACGAGCACACCGCATCTCGAGAGAGGCCGGGTAAACTTGCCTGGTGGTTAGAGGCATCAGGAGACCAGTGTGCAGGGGGCACTTCTACCTGAGGAGGAGGATGGGTCTGGTGGTGGGACCCATGGGCTTTCCAGCTGGACAGGTGGGCACTTGGCACGGGGCCCTGGCACCTGGGCTGGAATCAGGTGGTTGAGATTCCCCAGGAGATGCGAGCCTCTGGTGCTGACCACCTGGAGGGGGAGACCTGGCACCCCAGTGGCAGTGGGCCTGCCCTCCTGAGTGCTGGGGGGCGGGGAGGCTGGCTTTGCTATCTGTGGGCAGGGACTTGTCTCTGCTGGCCTGCCCGCTGGCCGGATCCACAAAGCCACATGTCTGGGGACCTGCCAAGGGCAAAGGCCATGACCAGGCGGCTTCAGAGTCACCTGTGTGGGGAGCCTGGGAGGAGGCATGGAGCACCACGCAGGAGACAAACCCGTGCCTGCCACCAGCAGTCGCCTCCGGACACCTCTGCCTCTTGCTCACACCAGGCTCACCCCGGCTGCCCGGGCGGCCTTTTCTGCCCAGGTCTGGTGAGCCTGGCACTGGTCGGGGAGGGCTCTGTCTGGGGCCCCGCCTGCAGGCCAGCGTCCCCCATCTCCCTTGTTCCCACTAGCCCCCACTTCCTATGGCTGGGCTCTCAGCATTTTTTGGCTTTGTTTGGGGCAGACTTCCTGGATGGCTTGGCACGGGATCTGGGATCTGCTTGCCTGCCAGGCTGTGCTCCTTTCTAAGTCGCCGTCCCTGCCTGATTCACAGAACCACCCCGTCCCCTCCCCAGGCCAGCCCCCTTCCCTGGGCTTGTAATCCCCACCTCTCCATTCTCAGTCCCTGCTTCCTGGGGCCACTCTCCGGCCTCTCCTTCCCAGGCTGGGTGCCCACCCCACCCAACAGAGCCTGTGGCCGGGCAGCCCTGCCCCTGGGTCTCCTGCTGGGGAGCCGATGCCCAGTTAGCTCCGGGCTGTGACCTCACGGACTTTGCTCAGCCCAACAGAGGCTGAGAGGATGAGGCCCCAAATCTCTGCCTTTCACTCTGATATCTGCACACTGGCTTGTGCCCTGTGCACCGCGCATACTTGCTAAGGGCTTTGAAGCTCTCGCATCAAAGGACCTGAGGCTGAAGGGCCGGGAAGTCACACCTCTGGCTGGTACTGAAATGACAGGTCAGAGCTCTACCATCTGAGGTCGCTCTTGATGTCACCACCGCTGGAGCAAGGGGCCCGGGATGACAGTGCTCCGCCTGCCAGTCTGCCTTGGCAGTGTGCATCTTGGAGCTCAGGCCACAGTGAAGACCCCAGGAGAGGACACGTCCTCTGTCAGCAGAGTCGCCGCTGACAGCTAATGATGACCCAGTGTCAGGTCCCTACGCCTTCCCCAGGCACCACGAGAACAGGAGTCTGGGCACCGGGGACGCAGGCAGATGCCCTGACCTCTGTAGAGCTTTGCACCCACACACTTGTCATGGCACCTTGCAAACCCTGGCACCAGCTCTTGATAAATTTACACTGCCCGCTGACGTTGTGTTTGGCTGGGCAACTTGCTGTGACCCATGTGACATGGGCAGAAATGCCCGCTCTAAGTCCAGGGCTAGCTGGCGCAGCCGGTCTCTGTTTACCTCTCCTGGATCCTTACTCTGGCCCAGAAACCATCTGGCCACTCAGTTTGGAGCAAACTGAAGACGTGAGGAGCAGCTGGGGCCTGACTGGAAACCAGGACTCCCACCTGGTCCAGCTGAGCCCAGGAGAGCACCGTCGGACCAACCGACCATGGCTGACCTGCTGACCCCACCGAGGAGAAGCATCTGTTGTGAGCTGTGAGGTTTTGAGTGTTTGTTACACAGCAAACACTGACGAACATAAACTCAAAGGTGGAATGAACTTTTCCTGAGTCCCCTCTCAGTGAAACTTCATGGCGTGATTATCTCCAGTTACCCACAGGGCAGCTGAAGTGCCAGGAGATTAGGTAACGTGTCCAATGTCGCACAACCTCTTTTGTCACCGGGACCTGCCACAAGGGACGCATTCAAGCCCCACACCTTCATTCCCACCATGTTTCTCTCCAGCCCCCAGAAGCCCCCTCCTTTCAGCTCGTCCTCTGTGTGGCCTCCAGGACACACTGGGCCCCTTTCCAACACGCCCGACTCTCACAGAGGCCACAGCACTCCTGTGCCCAGGTGCCCGCCACTGCGCCAGCTCCTGCCCGCCCCACCTGTGGGGGCCACTCTCCAGAACCAGCTCCCCAGTCCACCGGGGGCACCTGAGCCGAGCACAGGACACCAGAACCAACAGTCCCGGTGGCAGGCAGCAGCCCGCACACATGCCCCCACCCAGGGCTCGGCCTCCATCTCCACACAGACTGAAGCCCAGAGTGCAGCAAAGAAGCGAGGCGCAGCCTGACGGAGCATTGAGGAAACAATGACAAGGCGCAGGGGCTGTTGGGAGGAGACAGTGCCGGGGGCGGGGGGGTGGGGTGAGGACACTACAGCAAGGGTTTGGCCAGCTGGGCCAGCGAGCCACACAAGCAGCGGGCCAGCAGAGTCACAAGGATGGTAAGCGTTGGCCGGGCCGAGAGGTGACGTGGCAGGCAGAGGGCAATGTCAGAGTCGGTGTGGTGTCCAGTCACTGCTCGGTCCTCGCGTGCAGTGCTGTTGGGGTCCTACCCAGTCCTCCCAGGATCCTTTGGCCGTTGTGTGCTTCCATCTCCCCTCTTCTGGAGGGTGGCCCAGGGAGGGGCTCTCTGCTTTGTGCTAAAGGCGTCAGCCTGCACCCGCAGGTGACCCCCTCCATCCACGGCGTGCCCTCAGAAGATCCTGGAGCCCCTGGATAAAGATCCAGGAGAATGGGAGAAACTGAGGGAGAGGGGTTCCATGTTTCCCAGGCCCACGCAGGGTGGCCCACACGCACAAAAGCCCACTTCTCTGCCTTGGTGGTGGCAGCCCGGAGGTGCAACTCACACTCGAGTCAAGTGCAGGGTCAGGCTGGGGCTGGTCTTCATCTAAATTGTACTTTTGCTTGGCTCTCCCCTTCTCTCGCCAGGGAATCCCACCCCCTTTCTGAGTTCTTCTGAGAACCTTTCTTTAGTGAACCATGGCACCCAAGTTTGGGGTTGGCTATGGACAAATTGAGCTGCGATGGTCCTGTCCCCAGGTCAGTCCTTTTAGGTGTCCATCCTGAGCCTTCTTTCAACAGTTGATGCCAGGCGTGGCCCTGGAACTCTCCACCCCTCCCCTCACCAACAGCAAGGGCATCAGCCCCCCACCCCTTGGCTCAGACGTGAAGGGTCCACACCCCTCCCCCTTGCTCCTCCCTGCACCCCCACCCTGGGCTCAGCAGCCAACCTTACCCTCTGCACACGCCCGTCCCAACCCACGTATTTAGTGACCCCAGTGCTGAAATGAACAAAGGAACGACTGAGTGAATGAATGACTATTTTTTGAGTTACTTAGTTTCTGCTGCCCTCCCATTCCACAGGTGAAGAAGCAGAAGGCTGGCACCTAAGTGGCGGTGCCCTGATGGCACTGGCCTCCAGTCCCCTCCTCTGAGCCGGGAGCTCCCCTCTGAGGACTGTCTGCTGTCCCTGAATGCTCTGCCTGTGTGTTCTGGGGGTCCTGGTGGCGCAAGCCTGTTCCGAATTCCATCTCAACGACGGATGTTCCATTGAAGAGTCCCTTCACCCTCTCCTCCTCCTTCAAGGCCTGTGCTGCGTAAGAACCCCAGGTGTGGAGACCAGTGTGGCCATCGGAGGACAACTAGGCACAACTGAGACGTTAAAAATGTGTTTGTCCATGACCCGGCAATTTCACCCCTGGGAACGTGACCCAAGGCTGACCTTGGGGTGGGTGGTCGTCCCAGGTTTGTCTGCGGCGGCAGACTTTTGGAGGGGAACTGAGTGTCCATCCTTGGGATGATGGACAGTAGAGTGGGTCTGGGCATAGGTGTGGCTTACGCAGCAGCCAGAAGCAAATACTCGAAGTGTTGACAGCAACTGGAAAGAATAAGATTTCTTGTGAAGAAAGTAGAAAACAAAACGAGAACCCTGATATCACCTCGGCAAACTTAAAATGTATACACAGGAAACAAGACACATTTTGTAGGAACATATTCAAATAAAAGACACCCACTCAAGTGTCTGCCTGTTAATGGGAGGGCTATGCAAGCACCAGGTGGGGATCGAAGGGGTTAAGAAGGTATGTGGAGACATTGCTTTACAGGGAGAGTACACTGCCGTTTTAATCAGGGAGCCTGATTTTAAAAAAGGACTCCTTCATTCTGTTGTGATCTCTCTGATTTGACCTGAATTCATCACCAAAGTATTCTATTCTATCTCAGTTTTTATCTTGGTCAAGTGGGGATGAAGTAGTGGGCAAGAGGAGCTAACACGGCCTGTAAGTTTTCACACTCTGAAGTCTGATGTGAATGAAGTAGGTGAGATGTGAGACACTAGGGAGAGGTGAGGACTGTAGCACATTGGATAAATGCTTCTTTAAATGAATCAGTTTCCACTCACCTCCAGTTATATTGCTATAGGGTAACGTAGGCCAAGAGCTTCCAGAATTTCAAAATATTCAAGAAAGGCAAAAATGCAGATTCTTAGATGAACTCTCAGATTTTCTAATGCTTGCAACTAAGTTTTAAAAATACCACATCAAAACAACTATGAACCAGAGACACACTGTGGGGGGTAGGGGTGGGGAAAGGAGGGATTGGGGTCAAAATAAGGGGGTTGCAATTGTATGGGGAACATAAAAATAAATAAATAAATAAATAAATAAATATATACATATACACACATATATATATATAAATACCACATCACCACAAACTCACATCTTAGCTCCATTACTAAATAGTTGCATGACCTGGATTAGGGAATTTAATTCTAAGGCTAAGCTGATTTCCTTGTTTATGAATGAAGAGTGTAAGTCCTACTCAGCCAGGTGTTTAAATGAGCTAGTATAAGTCCAGGGCATGAGTCTTGGATACTAAGAATCACTGTCATATCACCTGCTATGTGTTGAAGATGCTGGCATGGTACAAGAGTCAGGTAGAAAAAAATACCTGGGTGACTGTGATAAAAAGGAATGGGGAAAACAGAATTCGGGTAATGTGTAGATAAAGGGCTGTAAATAAAGCAGGAGTGATTATCCATCAGCCTGATCCCTAACGAGCTACCACGTCTCGTGTATAGCCGCAGAGGTGGGCAGACTCGCTGGGTGTCAGCTGGTATGTGGTTATAATATCAGGGATGTGCTGCTGCTGCTGGCTCATGCCAGGTTGCACCAACCTGCACTGGCTTGAAATCCTGTTTTTCAGGAACCCCAAGAGCTGGGTGTTAAATGCGGCCACTCTGGTGACCATGGCAAGCGTGTTTCTACCAGAGAAATTGGCAGGTGCTGCTCAGCAAGGCCTTGTTTCCTGGAGTCCTGGGAGAACTGTGTCAACTGTTGCAGTGGCCATCACTCCTTTGGAGTAGTCATTCCTTGAATCTTCAAGGTGTGGCCTCAAGTGCACCCGGCTGCCCCTCCCTATGGCCCCATATTTCTCGAAGCAACATGGATCAGGTAAACATATTGTTGACCTATGCTAGTGAGTGATTCTTTGGAGGGAATGCAAAGGGGATTCCCATTCAATGAGGACAAAGACTTTTTCACTTGAAGATGCCCAAGACCCAGATCAGAGCAGGAAGCTCCCCCTTTGGGAGCGGTTGGGCTTGTCTGAAACAGGGAGAAGCTGAACAGAGGGCAGCAAAGTGTTCTGGTTGGAGAGATGTCATGACTAACATGAGTCCTCCAGTCACTCAGCAGGCCCAGGCTAGAGAGGGCAGGAGGAGGCTCCATTAGGTAGATAGGAGGAGATGGGCAGTCCAGGGTAAGTGTCATGCCCTGGGGCAGAACCAGAGCAGCTGTTTGCAGGCTGAGGAACGGATAAAGGCATCCCTAGTCGTGGGGCCAAAGTCCTAGACTGCAAAGAGGAATGTGACTCTACTGACTTGTATCAGAGAACTCTGGGTGAGAGCTCAGCTATGCAGCACCACAAGTTGGGGGAAGAGGCAAGAAGAGTCTGTGGGTGGGCCAGGCGAGCTGTGATTTTCACAGTGGCTCAGATGGGGTCTTCTGTTGTTTACAGTTCAGTGAGCTTTATTTCCATTCCGAGCAAGACTCTAGATGGGATAAATAAAAGTGTGGTCTGTGAGGTGTGCCGAAGGAAGCAGCCATCCTAGGGACCAACGGGAGTTTACAAGAACAGATCAAGTCAGGTGAACCTGTTTTTCCTATTTTATTTACATAGACGAGGGCCAGGGTAGCTCTGCTAGCCTAGCAAATCAGATCTTTCGTTACATCTGGTAGAGATTGCAGCTCAGCTGCCTACAGAGGTAAGGCAGGTGATGCAAATCAGCGAAATAAGCTGGGAGTGAGGCAGTAGGGAGAGGTGGAGACTGTTGACATGTCAGAGAAAAGTGCCTTGCGAAAAGGGGAAGCTCTACTCAGCTCCGGTTACATGACCGTGGGGTGATACAGGTCTAAATTTATCAGATCTACATTTTCAAGGGGTGCTGAAAAATACAGGCTATATAAAACATATATATATATATATATATATATATATATAAGATCTCTGAATTTTTTTTAATGCTCTTAACTGATTATAATTTTACCTTTTTTTTTCTTTTTTGTGGGACCCTTGTCGGCTGCCAGGAAATGAGCTGGCGCTGCAGAGGCTGCGGGCAGCCTCACAGCCCAGCGCTCAACCGCTGTGCCACCAGGGGAGGCCCTGATTATAATTTTAAAAGAATATGTCAGGAAAATAGAATACTAAAGCCAACACAGTGCTCACTAGTTTGTGACCCCTGGTGCCATATGTAGATATATAGGTGCAATATATATATATATATATATTGCACCTATATATATATATATATATATATATGGCATCTTTGACATTATTCATCTGTGATTCTTTTTTGTCTACAACCACATGGAAAACAGGGGAGAGGGTGAGAGGCAGTAACACCAGCCTGGACATGGGTTTCTGGTGTCAATGGGTTCTACCTTTTTTCCAGTGGCCCTGCAATGAAGGGCATGGACCAGCTTATATCAGCTCCCCATCCATGCTGCCCTCCTGTCTGTGCACTCTTGGGGGATGCCCTCCTCGCTTTACTCCTTGTCTTTGGCTTGCAGCCCCCTCCAGAGCAGAACCGCCCTTAGAAATCAGCAGTGAGGCAACCATGAGCACCATGGCCGGCGATGGGCACTGTACTGGTGTGGTCCCAAGGCAAAAGAACAGCCCTCCCCCAAATAGATCATATTGGAAAAAAGAGACAAGTCTATCATTCTTTGCAGGTAACAAGATCATGCATCTACAGAAGCAAAAGAATGAATTTCAAAAATGAGCATGAGATGATTTAGACATCAGGTAAGAGCACTCTTCAAGAACGTAACTTGCCTAGACACCAACAAAACCCAGCGAGAAAATGCCAGAAAAGACAGATCCTGTTCGCCAAAGAAAAACCACATCATACCTTGTAAGGAGGACTTTGGAACAATAAGGAAAAAGCATACAATACAGCAAAAAAGATAAAACAGAAGAGTTCAATGCAATTACCTAAAAATTCCAGCTGGACTTTTTAGGGACCCTTATAAGCTGATTATAAAATTCACCTAGAAAAGAAAATGTGTGGAAACCCCCAAGGATCAAGAGTACAGTAAGTGGGCCCTTAGACTACAGAATAGGAGACATACAGCAAAGCCACAGTAATTAGAACGTTCTGGAACCAGGGCAAGAGCAGACTTCTCCCAGGAAGATTAAGGCTACGTGGGGATTTGGCAGCAGAGGGGATGGCTTAGTGGGGGATGGGCCATTTAAAGCATGGTGTGGCTATCCCTTTGGAGCATGGGGCTGTAGTCCCATGTAAAAATAAATAGAGCTAAACCTAAAAGCCCATGACGAAAGAGCTAGGGAAAATATAGTTCATGAGATGAGTGATTCACAAAACCCAGAATCCATAAATGGAACCATTTGACTACATAAAACGTTGTCAACTTCTACATGACAAATGAACCCTACGCAAAGATTAAAAAAAAAAAAATGACAGTCTGGGAGAAAATATTTACAGCACAAATAAGCAGAAATTAATATACAAAACATAGAAAAAAGCTTTTTTTAATCAGGAAGATTTTTAAAGAGGAAAGAAAACGACAAAGACTAGAAATAGACCACTGCAGGGGGAGAGGCAGAGCAGGCTGCTGTGAGCGAGCGGGTCCTCCTGTCTCCTGGGGAAACGAAGGTGCAGTGTCCAGATGGTGGCTTCCCCCAGCTCCACCACAACTAGGGACCCTGGTCACCCATGTCCAGTAGCAGGACATGATGGGCTCCCTCCTGGGCAGGAGGATCCCTAGAAGAGGCCTCGGCTGGGTGGGCAGGCGGCTCCATGCAAGCCCAGCCTCGCGTGCTCGTCTTGAAGAAACGTTCACACGTGCCCAGGGGCACGTCCACGCGGGCCTCATCGCCGCCTGCGTTTTCGGTCATAATAACAAACAGAAAAGGAAATAGCTCAACGTCCATCCGGACGAGCTGCACTGAAGGGCAGTCAGAAAGCACAGGCTTGGTAAACAGCCCTGGCTTGGATGGCGCAGGCAGACTGCTGGGGAGACATCTAGCCACGCAGGCCCACACGTGCACAGCACGCTGGGACCCCTCAAAGTGCAGTGCCCCAAAGTCGCCGCAGCGCCCCGAGGAGGAGAGGGGTGTGGGCTGCGAGGCCAGCTTTTCCCTCGCCGCTCTCTGTGCTTCTGTTTTGTGCGAAAGCTTTAAAAAAGCGTATTCATCTTTCATGTGGTTGAAAAAGAAAGCAGGAGAAAAAGAGGGAAATGAGAGAAAGGGAAAGAGACAGCAAGAGCTGTAGCTTGTGAGCACCCCTTGGTCCCCACGGGGTCCTGGTGCCCTGGGGGGTCTCAGCCCTGCACCCAGAAAAGCTCCTGCCTGAGGATGAGCATTCCCCACCAGGGGGCCTGCCTGGGGGGCCCTGCTGTGAGGAGCCGGTCCTCCTGTCTCCTGGGGAAACGAAGGTGCAGTGTCCAGATGGCGGCTTCCCCCAGCTCCACCACAACTAGGGACCCTGGTCACCCATGTCCAGTAGCGGG